CTAAGCATATAATACCTGTATGTCTTATATTTTCTTTGGTTCAATGTATTTTTCATGGTCAGTTTAAGCTAGACCAGCTCAATTAATGTTTTTAAAATACAGTCGGGAGAAAGAGACAGCTAGGTAATTTGGAGCACTTCTCCAAACAATGCACTGTTTAATTGTTACATAACCTAGAGTGTGTTTTGATGACTCTCTAGCTGTGGCAATTATTAATTTACATTAATTAGAGTACCTGATACACACTTTTTATTTAAAAAAAAACTATTTTGAATAATTCTTTGAAATCAAATCTTATCTAAAATAAGTTTGAAGACTTAAATGTAAGATAAGTGTACTTTCCACAGAATAAAAAATGTATTTAAATAAATACAGGAATTCTATTTAAATAGTGTAACTTTTTTCATTAAATTTTATCATTTGCAAATGAAATAAAAAAATAACTTAAACAATACTTTCCATGTCTATTTAAATATCTTTTAATAGGTACGTGCAAAATAATGCTTTGTGATGCTATGTAATGCCAGCATTACACTGATTTCAATGAAGTAATGCATTACATTACCATTACATGTAATGCAATTTTTGTAGCATTACACATTACTAGCATTACTTGGAGTTCATGTAATGCATTCTAATGCATTACCATTACAATTAGCATTACCCCCAGCCTGATCAGTATATTAGGGGTACATAATCTTCAAAAACATCTCTACACTTAATGATAAAGCTTTCACATTAGTATTGTTTTTAGCCCAATGGTTCTGCTTAAGAGGATTTAAAATTGACCCAAACCTTACTAACTGCTTTGAAATTATATTGACAGGGACAGAGACACACTTGACACTCCATCCCCCCTTCCTGGGGTATGCTTTGCACAAAATTTAATTAAAATTGACTAAGCTGGATAGAAGTTGAAAATATGAAAAATTACAGTCAAACAGATTATGAATAACTTTCAGCACATCAGACATGAAGTAGTGATCCTTAGATAAAATACACCTACAAGATGAAGCTCTTTTATTCCTTTGAAGTGATATCTAGTATTGTTTCTTTTCCTGTATGCCACCTCTATCAGAACAAAATGTTATACATGTATTAAGATAACCTATGACCGTATAGTACCCCAGTATTTACTTTACAATTATTTAAGCCCTCAGATGCCCTTAAAACAAATGATTCTAAACTGGCAAAGGTAAAGGGCATCTGAAGAATTTAAAATAAAATGATAGTACAAACAAGCAAACAGTGTGCATGAAAATGTTGGCAAACACTAGAAAAAATACTAAGGTACTTTCTCAAACTAACATGAATACTTAAGAGATTTTATGTAGCTGTATTGCACATACCAAAAGCTTTCCTGCAGTTAAAGGTTGATTGCCTAGTAGTTATGTAGTATGTACAAGTTTTTCCCTCTATCTCTTCTAATTCAAGAAGCGAAAATGTCTGTAAAAATCTTATGGTTGGCATGAAGTATTCCTGTTCATTTTACTGATTACTTACAATTGTCCTATTTCTGAGGGTCATCTTCTGATGAGTGTGTTCTCTGCAATGTTCACAATTGAAGTTCCTGTTTGACCTGTTACATATTGATAATCCTCAATGAACATGATTATGGTTTTAATTTCCATTGTAATTATTGATTACTTTTATAAAAAAAAATCTAAACCAATTTATTGTAACATAATACTTAGGAAAATATTTATGTAATATCAATGGAAAAAAGGAATCATTATCTCCAGTTATCCTAAAATCACAAGTAAGCATTAATCATATAAATTCACATACGTAAACCCATTAGCTTTTTGTGCTATTTAAGCAATGAATCATTATTTTTGAGTGATATAGTTTCAAAACTGCAACGGTGTGTGCAAACAAATTGAATAACGCGCGTTAGCGCTTTATGAAAATTTGTTTGCACACACCGTTGCAGTTATGAAACTATATCACTCAAAAAATAATGATTCATTGCTTATATTTACATTTTTTAAACTTTCTATCTTAACTGCAAATGTGATTTCTATTTAAAAACCTATGTATTATCCTTCGTGTAAGCTACATTTAATGGATCAGCCAACGTAACAGCTTCTGGTCAATTTGAACGTGATTTTTTGATTTTCGCTTGTGACGTTGCACTTCCTCGGCGTTCAACGATTATGACGTCAAACTAAAACGCATGTTTTAACCTCTTGGTACCCTGTCTGTGTTATGGTGTTTTGAATGCAATAGATTTCCATTCATTTTATATGCAAAAAATATATGTAATGTAAATATTAAATCTAGTCATCGCTGTGCAATAAAGGAAATCAAGTGTTAATCCACAGCTTTGTGGCAATAAAGTTACTATCCCCGAGTAAAAAGTAACAAGCCCAATTATAGAGGCAAAAATTAAAAAGTAACATTGAAAAAAAAGTTCATCGTGAAAAAAGTCAGAGTATTAACTACAGATAATTCTTTTTAAAATTAAAGTTTAATTTAATTTTCGCTAGTAAAATTTAATCATATATAAATTAATGATTTAAAAAAATGAAAAAATTTTTTTTTAAATATTCCTTTACTGGTCATTCACTAATTCGTCTAATTAAAACGAAGCAAAAATCATTTTGTTTTCATCTTGAATCATTTAATGCCATATATGGCGTATGTACAATGAAAATTATTAGTCTAAGACTAAAATTATAAGAACTTATTATTTGTATCATTACTTTATATAAACATGATAAAGATAGAAATTTTCCGTAAATTACAAAATCTAAGTCAATTGCGTTATAAAGATATCACAATTTAATTTAGATTCTTGGAATTATCTCCGACTTGGAAGAAAATACAAAAGATTTAAATAACACATTAAAGAGAAGATAAAATCGTATTATTAGATAAAACGAGGTGTTCTCCGTGCTCTGAATTGTATGAAAAGTTTTAATTTAAATGTATTAACTATATTTCTTTACTTAATTTTGTATTTTTCAAAAATATATTTTTTGATCAGTTACGCCATACATGGCTTTAAAAAAAACGCTACATAATTGCATGAACTCTTATCATTGAGCTGATTGAGTGAATGTATAATTTAATAATGAGATATCTGTGAGGCATATATGTACAAGCAAATAATGCTATATTAAACAAAGGAAAGGGGGAATTCAAATTAGGAAATAAAAGATCGTTTTTAAGTTAATCAGTCTTGTAGTACTGCAAAATGGATGCAGTTGTGGAGATTTATGGATAATATGAGCAAGCTGTCTGGAATATTTCCATATTAGGGAATTTAATAGCAAAAAAGAGTGAAAATACCGGTGGTGCTTTTCATGTATTACATGTGTATTTTAAAATTCCTGATAGCCCAAGGGGATTCCTCAGTGCAGAAAACCATTAGCCCCATCCTCAAAAATGGAAGCCCCGGGTGTCGCGCGATGCTAATTACACACTCATCATGTGAAATAGTTATAGTAGCCCTATATCAATTTCAGTATTGTTTTAAATTAATTAAAACAAATGACAAAAAAAACAATTTAAAAAAAAATTAAAATAAAGCAAAGTACACTCATTCAAAATCAAGGACAGAAAGAAGCACTGTTTTGACTGAAAGTTTTTCAGTAATACAATGAATCTCTTAAGTTACGTATCAGATGAGATAAACTTACATACAATTATTTAGTTGTTGTCAATTATCCCATTTATCATCATCTCAGCTCACTTTGAGATTGTAATACTGTCTACATGAACCGATAATTTACAGCTGATTTATGAACACACGATTGTTAAAATTTTCATTTCCCTTTCCAATATACATTGTCAGAACATACTTAATTGGTTATGATATAAAATTAAATAATAAACACTTTCGATTTATTAAAGATTATCTAACAATATACGATCATTTACTAAATACTTCTCGCCCTCAAGAGAGTTAAAAAGACAGAGAAAATTCAAAATACAAACAAGTGCAACTTAGTATTAATTGTTCCGATATATCTATTTTAATTTTGTGCATAATTGTTTTCAAAATTACATTAAAATCAATTTTCCTTAAACAAGAACCCAGCAATGGATAAATATTAATCGAATAAACTTACCTTTTCTCTTGTCAATCAGAAAATCTTGTTGACATTAAGTGTTTCTTAGTCACCATATTTTTTTCCATGAAAACAAACGTTGCTATAATCAGGATCAACGGAAGTTGATTTTCGGAACTCTCGAGAATTTAGAGTTCCGAATGTAAAACTGAAACAACAAAACACGGTGAGTCCGTGAAAGCAACTTTTTTGGACACTTTTTTGGACAAATCATCGTGTCCAAGTTTTGTTGGGTACTAACTTGCAAATACCCAATTAGGGTGTTTTAAGCATATTCAGCGACACTTCTTATTGGGTATACCCAATAAGCAAAAAGTACCCAATAAGTACAATCTTGGCATGAAAAATACCCAATAAATGCACTCTCATAAACACGGACAGACAGACGGACACGAAGCCTATAACATAATACGTCCCGTCTAAAGACGGGCGTATAAATATGGCGAGATCATACCCAAAACAGTTCTTGAGCTAGAAATTCATCTGATAAATATGTATATTTAAAAATTTCTTTCAGTATGTGCAACAGTTGTGAAGAAAATCTTAATGAATGAAAACTAAATAGATCAACCAACTGACAGACCGACTGATAGACAGCAGCAAAGCAATATGCCCTCCCTTCTTCAAAAGGGTGGGATAAAAATACAGTAATACATTAAAACCTGTCTTATCTGGACCCTTGAGAAATTGACAACATGGCTTAGACATCACCATTTTGAACAATGAAATATACTAAAAGGGGGGGGGGGGGTGTCAAGTTAAGATTGCATTAGTCAAAATTTCTGATTATGCAACATTTACATTTAACAAGTTTCTCTTTATATTTTAATTTCTAAATCTGAAAAAAACTGGTTTTTTTGATTTGAAGAATTCTGATATAGAAAATTTGTGTGGTCTTAAATAATTTATGTACGATTGTCTTACCAGCACTGTGAAGTGTCATGGACTGGTCCTCTTCTCGAGTCTTAGTTTCCTTCCTGACAGCAAACCTTTTACTGGTCCCCTGCCCTTCATCCTGAAAACAGTTTTTATACTGATTATGATGGATCTACCTATCAGTATACACTGTCAAAAGCATGACAGTCTTTCAATTTTACCTTCAGAACTTACAAATTTAAATCATAAACTAAACAAGAGGCCCAGGGGCCACAGCGCTCACCTGAGCACATCGGGCTTGAATTTACTCTCCCCTTCCAGGCGTTCATCATTTGAACTAACTAGAATCTACACTACCTGAGGATGATTCCATATGAATACCCTGGGTATCACATAGCTTTGAAGTACTTGAAAAGAAGATTTTAAAAGGTTTTCCTATATATCCCTATGTAAAACTTGGGTCGGCAATTTTGGCCCCACCCTATCACCAGGGCCGGGGGTCATGATTTGAAAAACTTGAATCTGCACTACCTGAGGATGATTCCACATGAGTTTCATCTTTCCTGGCCCAGTGGTTCTGGAGAAGAAGATTTTTAAAGATTTTTCCTATATATTCCTATGTAAAACTTGGGTCGGCCATTTTGGCCCCATCCTTGCCCCGGGGGTCTTGATTTGAACAAACTTGAATCTACACTACCTAAGGATGATTCCACCTGAGTTTCATCTTTCCTGGCCCAGTTGTTCTGGAGAAGAAGATTTTTAAAGATTTTTCCTATATATTCCTATGTAAAACTTGGATCAGCCATTTTGGCCCCATCCTTGCCCCAGGGGTCATGATTTGAACAAACTTAAATCTACACTACCTGAGGATGATTCCACATGAGTTTCATCTTTCCTGGCTCAGTGGTTCTGGAGAAGAAGATTTTTAAAGATTTTTCTTATATATTCCTAGATGTAAAACTAGGGTCGGCCATTTTGGCCCCATCCTTGCCCCGGGGTCATGATTTGAACAAACTTGAATCTACACTACCTGAGGATGACTCCACATAAGTTTCATCTTTCCTGGCCCAGTGGTTCTGGAGAAGAAGATTTTTAAAGATTTTTCCTATATATTCCTATGTAAAACTTGGGTCGGCCATTTTGGCCCCACCCTTGCCCCGGGGGTCATGATTTGAACAAACTTGAATCTACACTACCAGAGGATGATTCCATAAGAATTTCATCGTTCCTGGCCCAGTGGTTCTGGAGAAGAAGATTTTGAAAGATTTTTCCTATATATTCCTATGTAAAACTTGGGTCGGCCATTTTGGCCCCATCCTTGCCCCGGGGGTCATGATTTGAACAAACTTGAATCTACACTACCTGAGGATGATTCCACATGAATTTCATCTTTGAAATTCCTGGCCCAGTGGTTCTGGAGAAGAAGATTTTTAAAGATTTTTCCTATATATCAGTCCACCAGTCTATCCCAAAAGCACCGGTCCGTCGGACAAAACAGGTGAAAATCTGATTGGTCCGATGCATTATCTAGTAAATTCGGTCCGTTTGTCCGAGGTTCGTTTTGGTTGGATTTTAAATTTTTTATTTCGATTTCGTCATGTAGACGCTTAATCTTAAACCAAAAGACACTTTTAAAAACCTATTGTATTTGTTGATTGTGATTTTAAAACCTACTAAAAAAAAAAATGTTTGTTACCCATTCAAATTATTCCCGAGTGGATTTTTTTCTGACAATCAATCAGCCGATTCCATTTATTTAAATAAAAAATTAACCTGTAACTTTTACTAACTTGAGACATAAAATATGTCAATCTACTTTACAAATTACCTTAAATATAAAAAGTAATCATTATTCTAACAACAATTTCCCCCTACAACTTTGTGAAGTTTGTTTTCTGCCGCTAGGTAGCCATTTTAGATGACATGTTGGGTGTCCACTGGAAATATGACACCTGGTATTCAGTCCAGGGATGTTTGGCCATACATAAGCAAAAAAAAAAAAAAGAATTCCTGACCTAACGACCCTTATTTTTTGGGGAATGTTACAGGAAAAAAAAATAAAAGTTTAATGCATGGTTACTGATTCATATGCCATGAAAAAACATCGTGGTGATCATTATGTGAAAAAGTTTTGGACCGGTGAAGATTCGTTTGGTCCTGTGAAATTGTGTAAATTGTCTGTCCGAATGTCCTGTGGCGATTTTTCTTTTTCGCGAAGACTGGTCCACGCGAAAGTTGAAAATTGTTACCGGACAAAATGTCTGGAAAAAATAATTTTTTTACCAGACCAAGCAATTTTTTACCAAACCGACTTTTTTTCCTTTAAATCCATGTATCATTATGATACTGAGATTGAGAGGGTGGTGGGATGGGGTTAATACTCACTGTAAAATTTAACCTTAAATAAATTCAGAGTGAAATGGACATTCATGGACTATTCATAATTTTCCTTTGTTAAAGGTATCTATACAATTGCATGTATTTTTTTCCTTCACATTTGACTTGTACAACATACACTGTATCAAAAAAAATTCTTAAATTTAATATGCATTTTCAATGCATGTTTATTTTTCCTGAAACAACTCATTATGGTTACTTTAATTTGATGATCATTTGAAAAAAAATTCCCAACTAAATCTACGTATGAGCCATCTAAATATTTTCCCAACCAAATCTACGTATGAGCTATCTAAAGATCTCAAACCCTTGACAGAGGAAATTCGAATTAGAATAAAAACGATCATGACAGGGTTGTAATATAAAAAAATTAATCAGTTATTACTGCTAAATTGGTCAAATAAAGGACATTTGTGGGGAACTGAACCATGTTTACCTCTTAATTTAGATTTATTTGGCCTTATTTTTTACCGGACATTCTGTCCTGTTAACTGATTTTTTTACCGACCCGACCTAAATTTTACCGGTAAAAACCGATGGTCCGGTGACTTTCGCATAGACTGATATATTCCTATGTAAAACTTGGGTCGGCCATTTTGGCCCCACCCTTGCCCCGGGGGTCATGATTTGAACAAACTTGAATCTACACTACCTGAGGATGCTTCCACATGAGTTTCATCTTTCCTGGCCCAGCGGTTCTGGAGAAGAAGATTTTTTAAAAATGCCATAAATTTTTAACAAATTCATGATTATCTCCCCTTGGAAAAGGGCGTGGCCCTTCATTTGAACAAACTTGAATCCCTTTCACCCAAGGATACTTTGTGCCAAGTTTGGTTGAAATTGGCCCAGTGGTTCTTGAGAAGAAGATGAAAATGTGAAAAGTTTACAACAACAACGACGACAACGACAGACGACGGACAAATTTTGATCAGAAAAGCTCACTTGAGCCTTCGGCTCAGGTGAGACAAAAATGAACTGTTATGTAACATAACTCAACCTTTCTGTCTTCCTCTTTATCATTCAGTTTCTCTTCTTTGACAAAAACCATCCCTGATGACACCTGTTGTGGTCCTAAGATAGGCTGTTGTGGTCCTGAGATAGGCTGTTGTCCTCCTACTATTGACTGTAGAATCCCCAATGTAGGCTCGTGTGTGCCTATTATAGGCTGTTGAGCTCCTATTATAGGTTGCTGTGTTCCCATGAATTGCTGTTGTGTGCCTATTATTGACTGTAGATTTCCTATTGTAGACTGGTGTGCTCCTATAGGCTGGTGTGCTCCTAATGTAGACTGTTGTGTTCCTATTGTATATGTAGTAGGCTGCTGTGCTCCTATTATAGGTTGCTGTGCACATAAGGTTGACTGTTGTGCTCCTGCTATAATCTGCTGCCCTCCCGCGAGCACCTGAACAGTTTTAGCTGGTGAAACAATATAAGGTTGTGACGATATGTAGCCATTCTGCACCAAATTTGGTAACACTGTAAAGTTCGTTGCCCTAGGAATAGATCCCGGGATCTGGGAGTTCAGTGTTGAATTCTGGGGATTCACTAACATTGTTTGAGGTAAAGAATTATTCTGTACATATAAAGAATTTCCAATTCTGATAAGTTTTAATGGGACAGACATCACATTTACTCCTGTGACTGGGTTAGTGTGTGATGACTGTACACTAGCACTCGATATCACTGTCTTTATCACAGGCTGTGTAAGCGGCGAAGGCTTCTGAGGAACATTCTGTGCGGGGACTGAAGGATGAACTCCTGAAGTTGCCTTCGCACTTGAAGTCTTCAGTTCACTGTTGTCCCTCTCAGGGGAGCTGCCTAGCTCTGTTTTTATTGTTTCTAGTTCTTCCCTGGTTTTCTCACTGGTATCACTTGGTAACACAGAATCCATAGGATCGGAGTAATTATCAACAGGTTCTTGTTTTATTTGTGTATTGATGTGGGAGGGATTGTCTTCCCCTGACTCATGAGAATGACAGGTGGATCCAGAGTTTTGTGGGGTGTAATCTTCAGTGTCAGAATAAGGATCTTCTTTTATTTCCATTTCCTACATGATAACAAATTGTACTTATTAAAATTAAATAAATTATTTATCACATTTAATTTTAAATATAATCAAATAATTTAATATTAAACATTTCATTTAAGTTTTTAAAAAAAACTTTCAATTATAATTATCAGATTTTAATTTAAACAAAACTGTGAATACATAGTAGGACTGGACAGCAAGCAATTCCTATAAAAATGTACTAAGTCCTCTGGATAAATAATCAGACTGATATACAACACAGAATAATATTTCTGAAGTAAACTATACAGTAAGAGATATTTCTCACTGACCTCGCCATCTTCAAGGTCAAGGTCACTGGTAGAATCATCATCAACAGACTCGTCCTCATCTATAGATTCTGCTCCATCATCAACTGTCAAAAAAACAGGCTATTTTTTAAATAAGAGTTAGACAGAATGACAGCAATTAGTTGAACAAGGGGACACATTGAGTCCATATCAGTCAACTTAAACGACGTAATTTCAAAAAAAAGTTGAATACAGCAAAAATCAATTTAGTACGAAATTCAATATGGACGTTGCAAATGTTTTGGATATAGCGAAGTCATCTTGGATCCCCAGGTATATAAATTTAATGAATTCCTTATATGGTTATAACAAATTACTGATATAGTGAAGTAATTTCATAGGACCCAGTGACTTGTTATAACAGAGTTTTGCTGTAAATAAAATATTCTTGGTTTAATGGTGTATCCTCCATACCTTCTAACTGAAGCGAGATGTCATTGCTTGTTCCGTCTGAATGTATCGATAGATCATCAACTGTTGAAATAAAAAATATTTAGTAGATTATTTGTCTAGAAAATTTTCTCCCATTCAATTCCTAAGCTTATAAACAGTCAAGCCTTGTTGAACTGAACTCAGAAAGAATAAGAAAAAAATAAAGTTAATCCAGGATTTGAGAAATCCCACGGAAAAATACATATAGCATTATTGTTAAAAAAAAAATGTTTGTTTCCGCTTTCCGGACCGACCCTAATTTATAGTGCCGACCCTAAATATTTTTTTAATGCTTTTGGCCCATGATGTGCAAGATTTCACCCAGGGAATTAAAGTCTCCAACTTTGCAAGCTTTTCAAGACAGAAAGAAGTTTGGATCACCTTTCTATTATAAGTTTTAACTCACAGAAATGCTTGAAAACACCATTTCTTTTGTCATTACTCATTAATGTTACTACTAATACTATACACGTTTTCATTAAAGAAGAAAAAAAAAAATTAAAAAAAAAAAAAATTGCCTACCTACCTACCCTATATTTTTTCAGCCCGAAAGCGGAAACAAACATATTTTTTTTTTTTCTAGGCCTCACTAAAAACTATGTTATGATATTAGCCCATCTATAAAACATTTTATTTTATCTGCGGTTTATAATTCTTATACTACTCCTACAAGTGAGAGCCTTGGTTTTACGTCCCTACGCTCCTTTTACACCACAGTTATGTGGCGCCACGCAACAGTATATTGACGTGAACCTCTAGCATGTTGGAGTAGACTGATACATGCAATTGAAAACTTGAATACTAGGCCCTACCATCAGAACTTAATGGGAGATTTCTCTGTTTTGTAACTGGATTTTCGTGGCCAGGGGTCTGTTCATCTTTTCTTCTACAAAGATAAAAACATAAGGCTATATATATATATATGTCTCTGCATGCTTTTTAAGCATCAATTCAAATCATCTAAAAACGACATAACAAAACTTTTTTGAAATCCACAGCAATTTTTCTTAATTCCTGAAATTTTCTTCAGCATGTTAACCCCCCCCCCAATTATTTCTTTCCCACGTTAATACTTACAGATCATCTACTAATACTTACAGATGAGCTGTGTTGGATGACGTATTAGGCCGTGACACTGTTACAACTCCTTGACTCAATTTACTGTTTCTTGTTTCTAGGTCCAGTGTGTATTCGTCATTCTCGTATCTGAAAAAACATGTCAAAAATAAAATATCAATTTTAATTTATTAATTGATTTTTCAAATATGATGGCATACGATGTTGAATTAATATCAAATTTGGCAAAAAGCAACCTTTTATAAATAAAATATTGAAATATATTTCAATTTTGATCTGTTTAGGTCCACAAAAAGATTTTGACTTAAGGGTTAAACTCTAAATTCAACCCTCCACCTAACTCAGTAACTGCATGCTGCATAAAGTCTGCATAACTCTCTGGTTGAGTAAATTCGGACAGACAAACCACAGAGAGCTACAGACAGAAGAATCTCTACAGCTTCCCTCACCGGCCAGAAGTGGCGTCTAAGTATTAAGTGAAAAAGTACTCAAAGGGACGTTAAACAAACAGAACCCATCATTTACACACGTTCAGACTTCTACAGACCTGTCCAGGAGATAGCCGGCTACTTCGTAGTTATACAGGAGACCCAGCTCTTCCTTCAGACGATTCCACCGCGCGATGTGTTCTCCTATGTACACTCGACCCTTGTATCTCTCCTTATCAACCCGCCGCTGCCATTCTTTTCTTTTTGCTTTCCTTTGCTCGGGTGTGTATTTGGCTGGCCTCCCTGGCTTTCTCTTTGACGCCATTATTTTTTGTTTATATTCTAAAAGTAGCTCGCCGTATCACATGACATTAACAAAAAGAGAACAGGCGGGCTTTTTCAAAATAAAAATTTTAAAAATCCCACTAAATCATGTGTTACGCGTCATTTGATCGGATAAATAAATATTTAACGTCAGCGCTGCCTACGTCACAATGATGATTTACGTCAAATATTTTGAAGGAATTTATCTTATTTTGTACACTTACATACATGTACTATATACAGTACTGATTAAAGAAATAGATCATAAGGAATGACTTTTAAACCTAGCCAAATATTTATAATTACGCTGACCAGTATACCATGCGCGGATCTAAAAGGGGGGGGTCAGGACCCCCCTCCCCCCCTGGAATTTGCAAGGTTATTAAATTCAAGGCCGTAACTACCATTGAGGCAACTGAGGCAAATGCCTCATTAATTTTTATAGTTTTCTGAAAAGTGAAAATGTTTTAAATTGAACTATGAATTATGTGTGTCTTCATGCTACATTGGCGTCGGAAGCAAACTGAAAGTGGGGGGGCTAAGTGTGAAAAAAAAAAATTTCGTACTTCCAAAAAAACCTACGACGGCGTATTAGTGCCATTTTAATAATGTAGAATTTTTTTTTAAATCGTTTGTACGATTTAATAAATCGTTTGTACGATTTATTAAATTGTACAAACGATTTACTAAATTGTACAAACGATTTATTAAATCGTACAAACGATTTATTAAATCGTACAAACGATTTATTAAATCGAACAAACGATTTAATAAATTGTACAAACGATTTAATAAATTGTACAAACGATTTAACAAACAAATTGTACAAACGATTTATTAAATTGTACAAACGATTTACTAAATTGTACAAACGATTTATTAAATCGTACAAACGATTTACTAAATTGTACAAACGATTTATTAAATCGTACAAACGATTTATTAAATCGTACAAACGATTTATTAAATCGTACAAACGATTTAATTAATTGTACAAACGATTTAATAAATTGTACAAACGATTTAACAAACAAATTGTACAAACGATTTATTAAATTGTACAAACGATTTACTAAATTGTACAAACGATTTATTAAATCGTACAAACGATTTACTAAATTGTACAAACGATTTATTAAATCGTACAAACGATTTACTAAATCGTACAAACGGTTTACTAAATCGTACAAACGATTTATTAAATCGTACAAACGATTTTAAAAAAAAATTCTACATTGTTAAAATGGCACTAATACGCCGTCGTAAAAACCTGACAAGCAAAAAAAAAAAAAAAAAAAAAAAAAAAATATGTCTTTTACCCAAACACGAAAAATCCTATTTCGTAGGGGGGGGGGGGGGGGGGGGGGTAGGTTCGAACTCCAGTAACAAAAATTTTCTTCCGAACACCACCACTTTCCCCATTTTTAACCTAAACTGAGACGTATCTGTGGAAAGTGGGGTGGCTGAACTTACGAAGATATGTTCATACATTTGGAAAAAAAAGTGGGGGGGGGGGCGTTAAGTTAACCCCCCCCCCCCCCCCCTAGCCCCCCCGGTTCCGACGCCTATGTGCTATTAATTAATATTTTCCAACTTTTGTTTCAATATCTGTAAATCATTCATATCGCAAGGTGCCTCATTTTCATTTAGAACTGCATGTAAAATATAATTTAAAATGTTTGTGTTGTAAATTGTTTGATTGTTTAAAATCCCATCTAAGAATTTCTCATTCATATTGAGACACTACTACTTGCCGGTGGAGGGCTGCAAGTTTTCTGTAGTGGGCTTACAGGGTCTCTGAAGATGAGTGAACAGTGAGATTTCTTTTTTGTGCCATCACTTACTGTGACATAGGACCTCGGTTTTTAAGGCCTCATTTGAAGGACCTGTCTCTACATCCCGCAGTGGGATTCGAACCCGCGATGTAAGGACCCACTCCTTAATTTGCGACTCTAGAGCAGACGCTCTAACCAATGTGCCATGCGGGCGACAATGCAAAACGTAAAATCTTTCTACGATTTGATCTTTTTAGGTCACCTGAGTAAACTCAGGTGACCTATTGCTATCCGTTTTCGTCCGTCGTCGTGCGTCGTGCGTTGTGCGTTGTGCGTCGTGCGTTGTGCGTTAACATTTGAACATTTTCAGCTTCTTCTCTGCAACCACTGAACCAATTTCAACCAAATTTGGCATAAAGCATCTATGGGTGAAGGGGAACAAAAATTATGAATTTCATGATCCCTGCCCCCCTGGGGCCTGAGGGGTGGGGCCAAAACCACTAAAATTAATGCAATCTTTAAAAATCTTCTTCTTTACTCCTGGACATCAAGCAGTCAAACTGTTTGCATGATTGTAATCAGCAATGAGTCCTCTACCAAAATTGTGAAATTCATGGCCCTGGGGTCAGGGGTTCTAGTGCTAGGGCGGGGCTAAATAATTAGGTAGTGAAAATGCATTATTTCTTTGAAAATCTTCTTCTCTGCTCCTGGGTATTAAATAAATCAACTAAGTACATAGTTATAATGAGCAAGAGTGTCTCTACCAAAATTGTGAATTTTATGGCCCCAGGGTCAGGGGTTCTGGTGTTAGGCGGGGCTCTATTGATTATATAGTGAAAATACATGAATTCTTTGAAAATCTTCTTCTCTGCCCCTGGGTATCAAATAAACTAACTAAGTACATAGTTATGATGAGCAAGAGTGCCTCTACCAAAATTGTGAATTTTATGGCCCCAGGGTAAGGGGTTCTGGTGTTAGGGCGGGGCTCATTTTTAGATTATATAGTGAAAATACGTGAATTCTCTGAAAATCTTCTTCTCTGCTCCTGGGTATTTAATAAACTAACTAAGTACATAGTTATGATGAGCAAGAATGCCTCTTCCATAATTGTGTATTTTTTGGCCCCAGGGTCGGGGGTTCTGGTGTTGGGGGGGGGGCTCTATAGATTATATAGTGAAAATACATGAATTCTCTGAAAATCTTCTTCTCTGATCCTGGGTATTTAATAAACTAACTAAGTGCATAGTTATGATGAGCAAGAATGCCTCTTCCATAATTGTGTATTTTTTTGGCCCCAGGGTCGGGGTTCTAGTGTTAGGGCGGGGCTCTATTGATTATATAGTGAAAATGCATGAATTCTTTGAAAATCTTCAATTCTCCTCCTGGGTATTAAATAAACTTACTAAGTGCATAGTTATGATGAGCAAGAGTGTCTCTACCATAATAATGAATTTTATGGCCCCAGGGTCAGGGGTTAGGGTGGGACTGTATTGATTATATAGTGAAAATATATGAATTCTTTGAAAATCTTCTCCTTTGCTCCTAGGAAATAAATAAACTAACTAAGTACATAGTTATGATGAGCAAGAATGCCTCTTCCATAATTGTGAATTTTATAGCCCCAGGGTCAGGGGTTCTGGTGTTATGGTGGGGCTCTATTGATTATATAGTGAAAATACATTAAATCTTTAAAAATTTTCTTCTCTGCTCCAGGGTATTAAGCAGATGAACTACAAATAAAGTTATGATGAATATAGTTATGATAGACAAGGGCCCATATCTTACAGAATTGTGAATTTCAAGGCCCCAGGGTCAGGGGTACCATAGATTGGGGGGGGGGGGGGGGCTGTACTTATATACTGAAAATGAATGAATGGTTTGAAATCTGCTCCTTGGTATTAATTAAATAACAAGGCCAAAGGGTCAGGGGTTCATGTATGGTAGGGGCACTACTGATTATTGCTGAATATTACTGATTAGTTGAAATGCATTTTGTGTTCCCTTACCCTGCGTATGGGTATTAAGTAAACAAATTAAGCAACTGCTAAGTGTATTGTAATGATGATCAATGGTGCCTCTTTCAAAATTGTGAATGCCATAGCATCTGGCTTAAAACATGAATCAAGTTTAATCACTGGAAAGTTGTTGCATAATGCTCAGGTGACCTATAAGGCCCATGGGCCTCTTGTATTTTCTAATACCCAGATTTCAGGATCCCCCTCCCCCTAGAAACTCCCATCACTGGCCATTAGGTACTACCCCTTTCCCGTCTGTGACTAGGAATGCCCAGTATACCCTTGCCTCACTAAAAAATTGAGCCTAGTTACGGCCTTGAAATTTTTATACAGAAGCGAGAAAAAAGTTAACTTGGACCCCCCTCGGAAAACGCAGACCCCCACCGGTGAACGCAAATTTGTATGAAAGTGGTATGAAAAGTCAAAGGTTTGAAGGTTTGAAGTATTCAGTTCAATTCAATTTCTTTATTGATTCACCAAATATGTTGGCATACAACCATATTACATATAAAAGACAAATAATAAAATACATACATACATGCAAGTGTATGGATCAGTGAAGTCAACTATGCAGAGTTTTCTTGAAGATAAAACATAATCATTATGCAAGCATTATAGTATGGACAGTGATGAGTTGATAAATGCATTAAATATATATATTATAATTGCACTTTATTTTTGGAACGCAATTCAAAACATTCATATAAAAATTCACATAGCCTTCTAGAATGAACTGCATTGTCAGGTTTATGACTAACCCCCCCCCCCCCCCCCGAAATAGGTTTTTGAAGTTTGGGCGAGTTTAGGTTTTTTTTTTTTGCTTGTCAAAAAATTTCTGGGTTGAATTTTTTTTGGGACTGGGGTGGACCCCCCTGGAAAAAATTTCTGGATCCGCGCCTGTATACCTTGAGTCTGAGTAGCTCGATTCTTGATTAATTTTTCCAAATTCTTACCTCAATTGCAAAAAATGGAAGATTTCAAAAAATTACTCTCTCCTCTCACTTTCTACAATCGGCTCTGAATATTGATTGGCCGTTTCCAATAAATGTAAATTCTACTCCCTTTTAAGTTTGGGTGCAATTACATGTATATATACACATGTATTTGGCGTATCGTAACTTGTTTTTACATTAATAATAATTTAATATCGATACAAAAGAAATTAAATTAAATTTTGAATTACCTGCAGTAAAGGCATGGCCAACTCATAGCATGATTAAAGTTTCTTTTAACAGCTCTAAACTTAGGGATCTTTAGATTAATGTTTGTCTGCCATCTCCTGACCCAGAGTAAAATAATATTCTGTTGCATGGTCGGCATACATCTGAAACCCTTTTTACCATGATAAATTTATACATATTTTTTGAAAAGAAAATAGGCATTAAAAGGAAAAGAAATCATTTACTGGAATGTAAAGAAAAAATGATTCTGACCATTTTTCTCTAGTCAGCCAGTAGAGACAAACAAACATGTTTTTGAAAATGGCCTTAAATTTTTTTTAGGTCATTAGGTCAAACATCTATGTCAAAATCTTTAAGTCACAAACCATAGTTTTCCTAAAAGATGTTGGGACACTGACTGACAAGTATATATGTATATAATGTGAAAGTTCCATCATCTGTTGTCACAGTACAATAGTTGGATTTGAAGCTTAACAGGTCAAGGTCAATAACCATAGTGCATTCAGAAAGTTCCTGTATTTATTTGGATATGTATGAATGTCCTATCCATATCTTCATTTAGAAGCTATCACCCATGTTAAAATTTTTAAAAATAATGTCAAACTGATAAGGTCACAGGGTCAAATGTCTTTTTTTTTTCAAATAGTTAACAAAAGTTAAGGTCAAACTTCATGTCAAGGTCATGGGGTCAAAATACATAGTACAATTGTATATTTTGGAAAGGTCTTATCAAAACTAATGTATATGAAATATGTGGAGAAATCAAACAGAATTCTAGCTATTAGAACTGTGATATATAAAAGATTCACATACACATTAAGTGATAAGAACTTTTTCCTGAAAGAGCAAATTTGTTTTTAGGCATCCTTTGAGAGATTCTGCTTCAATACCATACGTAATTAACAGGGGGGGACCAAGTCCTTACGTCCCCCGATCATCAACATAAAGTAGACACTTAGTGCTTTCATTTCCTGTAAAAAATGTTAATTGAAAGCCAAGTTTGGAAACCGGGCATTTGAAATTGATGTTCTTGATTTTTTGTAAGAAAATTAATATTAAAGTATCTTGACACTTTTGATAAAAATACCCCACCCCCCGATCCCCCAAAAATAGGATTCATTGACTTTTAGCAACATTTAAAACTTTTTCATTATATTCAACATTTTGTCAAGTTTTTCAGGTAAGCAAAAAAAAAACAGCTTAAATTTTGGCTGGCCCCCCCACTTTCAAAAAATTTTACGACTGACTATAAATCGTTCTCGAAATTCATAACGTCATAATACATAGACAAGAGAAAAAAATTACGTCATTTTTATTTGATAAAATCACCAACTCATCAAAGTGAAATATAACAAATATTTCCAACTTAAAACTGAAGTTCAAAATTCAAAAACAGGGCCAAAAATGGACCAATGTGAACTTTCTTCTTTGTTTTTAGGCATCCTTTGAGAGATTCTGCTTCACTATAAATCGTTCTCTCTTTTCATTCAGTGATTCAAATAATCTAATTTCCCTGTAGAAACAGGATAACAAGTTTCTAGTATTTTTATTGTGATAAAATCATCAACTCATCAAAATACTGATAACAAGAACAAAAAAAATCCAACAAAGATTATAAAGAAAAACAAAATTCAATAAAAAGTTTTGTTGATTAAAGTCCAAGTGGTGGATCTTCTGACCAAAATGAACCATTCTGGAAAAATCCAAATCTGAAATAGAAAAATATTGTTAAGCAATAGAGCGGTTATCTAAATCTTTCTAATGAAAAAGGTAACAAGAGGCCCAGGGGCCACAGCGCTCACCTGAGCACATCAGGCTTGAATTTACTCCCCCCCCCCCCCCAGGCGTTCATTATTTGAACAAACTAGAATCTACACTACCTGAGGATGATTCCATATAAATATCACTAATCATAGCTTTGAAGTACTTGAAAAGAAGATTTTAAAAATTTTACCTATATATCCCTATGTAAAACTTGGGTCGGCCTTTTTGGCCCCACCCTATCCCCAGGGCCGGGGTCATGATTTGAACAAACTTGAATCTACACTACCTGAGGATGATTCCACATGAGTTTCATCTTTCCTGGCCCAGTGTAATTGAGAAGAAGATTTTTAAAGATTTTTCCTATATATTCCTATGTAAAACTTGGGTCGGCCATTTTGGCCCCACCCTTGCCCCGGGGGTCATGATTTGAACAAACTTGAATCTACATTACCTGAGATGATTCCACATGAGCTTTCCTGGCCCAGTGGTTCTGGAGAAGAAGATTTTTAAAGATTTTTCTTATATATTCCTATGTAAAATTTGGGTCGGCCATTTTGGCCCCACCCTTGCCCCGGGGGGCATGATTTGAACAAACTTGAATTCCACTACCTGAGGATGATTCCACATGAGTTTCTCTTTCCTGGCCCAGTGGTTCTGGAGAAGAAGATTTTTAAAGATTTTTCTTATATATTTCTATGTAAAATTTGGGTCGGCCATTTTGGCCCCACCCTTGCCCCGGGGGTCATGATTTGAACAAACTTGAATCTACATTACCTGAGGATGATTCCACATGAGTTTCATCTTTCCTGGCCCAGTGGTTCTGGAGAAGAAGATTTTTTAAAGATTTTTCCTATATATTCCTATGTAAAACTTGGGTCGGCCATTTTGGCCCCACCCTTGCCCCGGGGGTCATGATTTGAACAAACTTGAATTTGCACTACCTGAGGATGATTCCACAAGTTTCATCTTTCCTGGCCCAGTGGTTCTGGAGAAGAAGATTTTTAAAGATTTTTCCTATATATTCCTATGTAAAACTTGGGTCGGCCATTTTGGCTCCACCCTTGCCCCGGGGGTCATGATTTGAACAAACTTGAATCTACATTACCTGAGGATGATTCCACATGAGTTTCATCTTTCCTGGTCCAGTGGTTCTGGAGAAGAAGATTTTTAAAGATTTTTCTTATATATTCCAATGTAAAACTTGGGTCGGCAATTTTGGCCCCACCCTTGCCCCTGGGGTCATGATTTGAACAAACTTGAATCTACACTACCTGAGGATGATTCCACATGAGTTTCATCTTTCCTGGCCCAGTGGTTCTGGAGAAGAAAATTTTTAAAGATTTTTCCTATATATTCCTATGTAAAACTTGGGTCGGCCATTTTGGCCCCACCCTTGCCCCGTGGGTCATGATTTGAACAAACTTAAATCTACGCTACCTAAGGATGCTTTCACATAAGTTTCATCTTTCCTGGCCCAGTGGTTCTGGAGAAGAAGATTTTTTAAAAATGCCATTTATTTTTAACAAATTCATGATTATCTCCCCTTGGAAAAGGGCGTGGCCCTTCATTTGAACAAACTTGAATTCCCTTCACCCAAGGATACTTTGTGCCAAGTTTGGTTGAAATTGGCCCAGTGGTTCTTGAGAAGAAGATGAAAATGTGAAAAGTTTACGACGACAACAACGACAACAACAACGACGACGACGACAGACAACGGACAAATTTTGATCAGAAAAGCTCACTTGAGCCTTCAGCTCAGGTGAGCTAAAAATACCAAAAAGGGATCAATAAATCTCATAAAAACTATAGAAAATACAATTCTGTACCTAAGGCACAAACAAGACACCCCCCATTGAAATTCAAGTGGTGGGATCAGGTCCCTAAGAGAAGTAGGCATCCCCTATACTCTAACTTAAATATATATAAAATGCTAGTATGCTACTTCCCAAATTTAAAAAAATTAGGTATATGGGATCATTTCATGTCTAAGCTGTCTTAACTACATCCTGATATAAGAGATTAAAACTGATACTGTGTATCTTAATAATGTACAAAACAAATACTTAATTTAGTATTGACTCAGAACTTGCAATTGAATGGGATACCAAGAATGTTAAACTGGTTCCCCTATCGTCTCCGAGTCTGTTTCCTCTTTAACAGTAATTAATCTTTTACTGGTTCCTGGTCCTTCATCACTGTCAGACAGAGGCCTTTTAATGGAATCCCTGCCTGTTAAATTCTCCTCCACAGGAAGATAATGTCCGAGGGTTGTCTCAGTGGGGAATCCTTGTGAAGCCGGAGACACAGAGTGAACATCAGCTCCCCCTGGTGGAGATAACGAAGTTGTCAGAGGGTTGACAAAATTTGAAAACGTCTGTGCTATAGATTGAGGGGTGGGGGCTTGTTGAACTACTCGTGGAATGATGACTTGTTGAACTACATGTGGGGTGGTTCCTTGTTGAACATGTGGGGTGGTGGCCTGTTGAACCACATGTGGAATGGTGGTTTGTTGAACATGTGGAATGGTGGTTTGTTGAACATGTGGGGTGGTAGCCTGTTGAACATGTGGGGTGGTGGTCTGTTGAACCACATGTGGCGTGGTATCTTGCTGTAGCACGTGAAGTCTGGGCAGAACATGTGGATTGGCAGTCTGCTGTAGAGCTTGAGGTGCGGGAGCTTGCTGTAGATATAGCGCATTTCCCCGCTGTATGGTAAAGTAGGGTATACTCTGAGGTAGATTAACTGCATTTCCAGCAGCAGGACTGTTCAGTGTAAGAGGTAGCTGTGCTCTGATTATGTTAGTGGGTGGTGTCACTGGGTTTATATTCTGTGCCACAACAGAGTTTTGAGAAGAGGGTGGATGAACTTGTTTAACACTAGATGTCACCGTGTTCAGGAGTGGATAAACAAAATTGACACTAGATGGAGCTGTTCTCGGTGCACCTGTACCAGTTCTGTCTGACTCCTGCATAGCTTTCTGTATTATCTTTGGTATAAAAGGCCTTGTTGGAGCTGTGTTACTTGTCACAGAGGAATGAGATGAAGTAGGGATGGGTATAGAATAGTCAGTGTTTGTCAATACTGGATCCTTTTGAGGCCTTGATTTGTCAGCTGTGAAATTTCCCAATGGAAAATTGCTGGAAAAGGTCTCCACGGGTTCTAATTTTACTTCAGTCAATGCGAGGTTGTCTCCCCCTGGATTATTTGTGTGTATGCTGGTAGATGGCGCTGTTTGGCGAGTTCTAGGGTGGGTTGACCCCGGTGAGGTGGGCGGGGTGTCATCCTCAGACAACTGTTCTTGTTTGATATCGAAATCCTGGGAGAGAAGAACAAAAGGTTTAGATTTACAGACAACTTGGTACCTAAAAAAGATAAGACACGGGAAGAGATGTTTGTAAAACACTTAACCCCCCCCTCCCCCAATGAATATTTTTTTAACCCAAGGGGCATTAATCCCTCAAAAATTTCTTGATTGTACCTTAACAACCTATTCTTATGATAAATCTGTATACCAAATTTCATTTCACAATGTTCAATTTCTGCAAAGTTAATAAACTGTAAAAAAAAATTTTTTTTCTCATTTATAAGGGCAGATCACTATTACAGCTGCATAAAACTACCCTACAATTAGAACTCTTTAGTGTGCATTGTTTAGAACTTCCTTAACTTGCCACACATCTTTAGTGACGTACCCCATCCCCCTGTAAAACTATCCTACAATTAGAACTCTTTAGGGTTTATTGTTTAGAGCTCGTCCCCCCTGTAAAACTACCCTACAATTAGAACTCTTTAGTGTGCTTTGTTTTGAGCTTCCTTAACATGCCACACATCTTTAGTGACGTACCCAATCCCCCTGTAAAACTACCCTACATTAGAACTCTTTAGTGTGCATTGTTTAGACCTTCCTTAACTTCCAACACATCTGTAGTGACATACAACTGTACCTCATCCCCCTTTAAAACTATCCTACAATTAGAACTCTTTAGTGTGCTTTGTTTAGAGCTTCATTAACATCTGTAGTGACGTACCTCGTCCCCCTGTAGGTCACTGTCATCACTCGAGTCTTCATCAATGGACTCCGCTTCCTCGTCAACTGTCAACAGAACAAGAGATGTTTGTAAAACCTCTCCAAAGAAAATGAACTGAAACTGCAAATGATTGGAATTTTTCTAAGTCCAAGGGGCATAACTCTGTCATCGTACCAAAAACAGAACTTGGCCTAGATATTCATCTGACTAATCTGTATCTAAATTCCATTTCAATTTCAATGTGTGCAACCTCTCAAAAGAAAATGAAGGGAAACTGCAAATAGTTTAAGTCCAAGGGCATAACTCTGTCAAAAATGGTGCGATTGTACCCAAAACAAAACTTGACCTAGATATTCATCTGATATACCTGTAAACCAAATTTCATATCAGTATGTGCAACAGTTGTGCAGAAAATGAACAGAGATCAAATGGACCGACTGACAGCAGCAATATGCCCTCCCTTCTTCCAAGGGAGGGGGGGAGGCATAAAAACATTACAGTCCAAACAAAAGGTAAGAAGAATCTGTTATCCACAAGAAGGGCATCAACTCTAGATCTGGGAAAGAGAAATACGACTTGCATGATTTTGTATCAGCTTGAAATAAATTAAGAAACCTTGCATTAATTTTTAAAATTCGGAGGAATACTATAAATTTTCATGAGCACATTGTCTGCCTAATTATGTAAAAATTAAAATTCTCATGTCAGAATAAAAACTGATTTGCAGTACACTAGGGCTGTCACGGTTCCAAAATTTTTCGGGTCGGGTCGGTTCTGATTTTTTAAGGTTCGGTTTCGGGTTTCTCGGGTCGGGTAGGTAATGGAAGAAAAGCTCATGATTTGTATTATTTTCAACAATAAAAAGAATATTTTCATTTAATCTTAGAAATAGCAACATTATAACTAGTTTAAAGTAGCCTCCTGACTAGACAACAATTGTACCAAATTATTTAAATCACCTTATAATGACAACGTACTAACAAATGTCTTGTTTTTGACGCCATTTTTATAGTAAAATCTACTTTATTTAACAAATCGGAACCGAACCGAATTCCGGAAAAACGGAACCGTACCCGACCCGAATTAACTGTCATTTCGGGTACCCGTGACAGCCCTACAGTACACTGTACATTTATTAGATACCCAGATTCGGCTGTACTTGTTAACTATACACATCAGTACCTTCTAACTGCAGTAAGATGTCCTTATTTCCTGTGTGAGTGTCTGTAGAAGGTGTCAGGTCTAGAACTGTAACAACAAAATAAACAGTTTTAAAACTGCAGCTTCATAAAATATCACTTTAATTCTATGGGTTGAGGAGATTACAATAAAACATGCATATAAAGAATTGCAAGGGACAGACAATTTGTGCAAAATTTTGTATATCAGTTAAGTTTACAGCATTTATTACGGTCAAGGAAAATGAAAATAATTTTTCAAAGGGAAAGAAAATCCCTCCCCTATAAGTTTCAGTTCATTACAGTTAAACCTGTCTAATCCGACATGCACTGGGAGACAAAATTTTGTGTTGAAATAGACAGTGTGTCAGGTATTGCACAGTGAAAAAAAAACAACTAAATAGTAAATTGGAAACAAATTTAAAGTTTGAATTCACATTGTGTCCATTTCACAGGTGTCGGACTTAACAGTTTTCACGGTTTAAAGGTACTTAGACACAGATTTGAAGTCAATATTTTCTCTATAATATTATGACATATATTTTAATAGCATTTCAATTAAAAATTAATTAAAAATCTTATTACATATAAAAGATATTAAAACTTCAAATTTTTCGGCGGGTTTGATTGACACATGCTTGCACTTTCACAAATTTTTACCTTATTCTTAATCCTTAGGAAAAGTGGCAATCTTGTTGTGTATTAATGAGAAATATTTAAACTTTTATCCAGAAAAATAATTTTAAACAGAGTAGAGATGTTAGAAAACAAAACTCCTTAACAAGTATCGTCATTCCGAACTAAGAGTTGCGTACATAGTTTAGCAAATCGAGCACACTCGTGTTATGTACACAGTTTTTGTAAACAGGGCAAGAGTTCTGTTTTTGTTTATGTTTAGAATTCACTGGGTGCGTTCTAAATCGTCACAGTCTGCTTACCACAACTGCATGGACTGACAATATATTGTTTGTTTTGCTTTTGAACATGTCTACTCTGAATTTTCTGGATTATAGTATTGATATTTTCCATTTCATAGGCGTAGTCACAAGGGGGGCAGCGGGGGCACTAGCCCCCCCCACTTTCAGATCTGGGGGGGGGGGGCCAGTGTATGGTTTTTTTTTTTTTTTTTTTTTTTGCTTGTCAAAGAATTTCTGGAGTTAGCCCCCCCCCCACTTTTAAAGTTGGTTTTTTTTTTTTTTTTTTTTTTGCTTGTCAAAGAATTTAGTTGAGCCCCCCACTTTTAAGTTTGTGACTACGCCTCTCTATTTATATACAACGAGATTGCCACTTTACCTAAGGATTAAGAAGAAAATTAAATTTGTAAAGGTGCAAGGATGTGTCAATCAAACCCGCCAAAAAATTTGAAAAAATAATATCTTTTATATGAAATAAGATTTTTAATTAATTTTTGTGTGAAATGCTATTAAAATATATAAGTCGTAATATTATAGAGAAAATAAGAACTTCAAATCTGTGTCCAAGTACCTTAATTTAAGTGTTACGGCTGTAGAAAAAAAAAAGTTCTTTTTTACTGTATCTCACTATCTGCACCAGAACTACTGTAAACCAACTTTTATTCGCGACGACTTTATTTCACGATTTTATGAGGGTAAACTATTTTGCGATGATTTTTTTTTTGGATGAAGCCATTTTTGATCTGTTGTTTATAGATACAGAGACTTGAAGGATCCGTTTGCGGCGAGAAATATTCGTGAAACTCATGAACTTTTCTCGCAGGTGAATAAAAGTTGGTTTACAGTATTACAGACTTACCCTGTTGTTTGTTTGAGATCACTGGTCCTGAGTTCGGTGTATCCTGTGTTCTACAAAGAATAAAAAAAACATCAAAATAAGGCCATAAAAAAATAATTTCTTGGTTTTCAGGCCCTATCTCATCTGTTCCAAGGGTGCCTCATTGATCCTTTTTAATGCTTTATCAATGAAATAAAAACAACAAATCACCTCCCTCTTTTTTTTCTGAATTAAGGAAGAAGTATTTCAGAATTGTTTATATATAGCAATTTTTCAGAATTTTAAAGTTCAGTTCTGGATTAGGCCTAGAAAAAAAATATGTTTGTTTCCGCTTTCCCAACCGACCCCAATTTATAGTGCCGACCCTAAAATATTTTTTAATGCTTTTGTCCCATGAAGTGCAAGATTTCACCCAGGGAATTAGTCTCCAACTTTGCAAGCTTTTCAAGACAGAAAGAAGTTTGAGTCACCTTTCTATTGTAAGTTTAAGTCACAGAAATGATTGAAAACACCATTTCTTTTTTCATTAATGTTACTTCTATACACGTTTTGATTAAAGAAGTAAAAAAAATTTACCCAAAAAAAAATTGCCTTCCTACCTACCCTATATTTTTTCAGCCTGAAAGCCGAAACGAACATTTTTTTTTCTTGGCCATACATACCTTTCTAAAGGACATGAGCCATGGCAGTGGATTTCGTGAACCTCAATCAGATGTTTGGCGATGTCGCTATCGTTGAGCCAGTAAAACCGTCCAATCAGACGCTTCCATGCACTGGCCGCGTCGCCCACCAGTAGATTCCTGTACTCGTTCATTCCGGTGAAATGATCGTCTTTTCCAGACCAAGAGTTTGTGTGAGTCGGAGTTGATGACGCAGCAGTATTCTGGAATCCAGTCGTGGCGGATATAGACGGAAGATTTTGGCACAGAATGTCGGACATTTCCCTCTTCCTCTGGTCCTCCAGTCTGGAATTGTGGGACGTTACGTCAACCACCTGGTTGTCTAACACTGCGACGCTGGTGGTCTTGATACAGTGATTGGTATACCTCTGACTAAGACCCGCCTCCTCGCTCAGGCTAGACATAAACGAGTTGAGGGTGTTCTTCCCTAAAGAAGCTTTATCATACCACTGCCCGTCTGAGTCTCTGACTCTTTTCTTGGCTCGCTGCCAGAAGTTTGGGTTGTCAGGATGTAACTTGGAGATATATTTCTTAAAAGACGTCACGGGGCAGGACGGGTCACCTGAAATACACAAACAAACAATACACAAACAAACAATACACAAACAAACAAAGGACGGGTCACCTGAAATACACAAACAAACAATACACCAAAAAACAACCAATACACAAACAAACAATACACAAACAAACAATACACTGGGCAGGACGGGTCACCTGAAATACACAAACAACCAATACACAAACAAATAAAGGACAGGTCACCTGATTCAGAAATACACAAACAAACAATACACAAACAAACAAACAATACACAAACAAACAAACAATACACTGGGCAGGACGGGTCACCTGAAATACACAAACAACCAATACACAAACAAATAAAGGACGGGTCACCTGATTCAGAAATACACAAACAAACAATACACAAACAAACAAACAATACACAAACAAACAAACAATACACAAACAAACAAACAATATACAAACAACCAATACACAAACAAACAAACAATACACAAACAACCAATACACAAACAAACAAACAATACAAAAACAACCAATACACCAACAAACAAACAATACACAAACAATCTAGGGTTATTTCCGCCCAGCATTACAATTTTGCTGGCCCAGTTATAATTCTGTTAATTAAAAGAAATCACACTGACGTTTTTATTAAAATTTGCCTCGTTTAAATTTGCCCACGTGACAAGAGAAAAACGTACAGAATGAAACAGGGGAGAAAATTTCCCTGTGAACAGATTATTTACTTTTTTCCCCCAAAAAAACTACCATATATACTCGCCTATAAGTCGGTTGTATTTAATAAGCTTATATATCATAGGGACTGACCTATTATATAATACATGTACCATTCATTTTATAGCTCGCCTATAGACAGACATAGAGTTTTATACCAGAAATTAACTCCCAAAAATCCAACTTATAGGAGAGTATATACTGTATTGTTGCTTTTCATTGGTTTATGCCTAACATGTGACTATTCAGTATTGGCTAGATTTCTGCATCTGGCAAGGGGGGATTTATAATGGGCATTATGGGTCACATATTTTAATGTAAACATCTGAAATATCAAATCTTGCAACCTCTTTTTAAGAAAAAAATTCATTCATTTGATTCTTTGCAAGATACTGGAAAAATCAACTCCTAGGCTAGACATTTAAGAAAGACACCCTGTATACATCAACCTCAAGCTGAAATGAACAGGATAATTGGATATTTCAATAAGGCCAAGCTTAAAAAATTCTTTGTTTGCATTTGCCGACCTATAATTTTTAGACTGGGTCGGTAGGTAGGCATTCTTTTTTTTTTTTTGGAAAAAAAATTGGGTTTTTTGTTAGATAACAAATAAAAGAGGTTTTCTTAGATCTACTACACTTGAATAAACTCAACTCTTGTTAAAAACCACTGATTGATAAAACAAAAGTCGAAATTTGAAAAAGAAACAGTTTCAATATTCTGAAAAATTGAAAAAAAAAAAAAAAAAATTACAAAATGGCTAGAAAAAAGTTTGGGTCGGGTGCATTTTCAGTGGGTCGGTAGGCAACTGCAAACAAACTTCTTTTTATTTTAGGGCTAACCACATGGCTTTGAATGATCACTGGAAATAAATTTTCAACTCCCAGGCAAGGAAATATAGCTAGTAGTCACATGTCAATCAAAAAATCAGATCATAAGACATAACTCTTTCTCGGGTCAATATGATGATTTGGCTACCAAAGGAGTAAAGTACAGTGCAGTGGTGGATTTAAGGGGCGCACACCCCCCGCCCCCTAAATTTGTCAAAATTAGCATTATAAGTCACAGTTTCGTCTACAAAATGTAATGTCAACTTGAACTTGGTAGACCTCATTGTCACCCTACAAAATCTCTAGAACCCAAGAGCTTCCGTGGGCTTTGCCCCCTTGGCCCCCACCAAGGCTTTGCCCTGGACCCACTCGGGGCCTTAAGGCGGCCCCCAGACCCCTTGCCTACTTTTGGCGCCCCTCTAACTTCAATTTCTGAATCTGCACCTGCAGTGTATTCACTAAGAGTGTTAGACTCATCTGAATGCAGGACACTTTAATAGTTTCCCTATCATCATTTTGAGCTAACACTGTCACACCAATAAATGATAAATGTAGTAATGTATATGACTGAATGATTCAAAGTCTTTCTCAATATACAAAATAAAGTGCCACGCCACAGCATGATACGCCCGTCAAAAAATTACAATTACAATGTATCTTAAACAGTTAAAAGTGCAGGAAAATCATGTCAACCTTGATTTTAAGATTTCAATGATTTTTACACAATTAAAAAAACAATGTTATATAATCGATAATTTGAACTATTAAAAAATTATAATTCATATTGCACATTCATAGATTTCTATACATGTGACCAAATGCCTATCATATTAGGCAACAACTTTATCACAATTTACAAACAACTTAATCTAAATTACCTAGGCCCATTAATTCTGGCCAAAAATAAAAGGCTGGCCATCAAATATAAACTGACCAACAGTTCTTCTGCAATTCCCATAAGACCACGTCCCTTTGAAGAAAATAAAAGAGACATGCATAGCCTTTAAAAATTGAACACATTAATTAATCTTTAACTCGATTGTCTACTCATTACTGGGCCCAAAAGATTTTTCGATAGTCGGCACTATCTACCATTAAACATTTTTAAAACATACAAAACATCAATGATTTTTTTTTTAGATTTAATGTCAGACAGTTAATTGTTAATATGCAATTCATATGGACATGACAATGCTCACCCCGTTTTGGTCCATAAAATTAATTTTTAAGTTCATAATATTATGTAATATCAAAATACTAAAAATATAAATATCAAATTATATTTTAATTTTTTCAATTTATACAAATTCATTTTAAAACTAAGGCTAGCCAACAAGAATTATTTTTAATCAAACCAGGCATTACCCATTTGGCCCAATACTCAAGGGATTGATAGCACCTGATGATCTTACAGCTACTCCTTTCACTAAATCATTAATTTCTCTCTCTAATTTGACATGCAATTTTCTGTTATCAAAATTCTTCTTGACCAGTGCTTGATAATTAGACTCATGACATGGAAGAATTTCTCCTAACATACATTATATTTGATCAAATTGCTGTCAAGTATATGCTAAAAACAATAAGTATTTTCTTGATTTAACATTTTTCTAATAAGGTTAGTGCAATAGTTTTACATTTTTTTGAATGTGTAAATGAATAGAAAAATAGACATATTTTTTTTAAAATTCCACTTAAATTAAAGGTCACAGTGACCTTGAAATAGGTCGCGACACACCTTCTACCTAAGATGCATAAACTGGCCAAGTTTGATGATCCTAAGTCTAATAGTTTTCTAGTTACGGACCGGACAAGATTTTTCCATATTTGGCTATAACTTTTTAATTATAGGTCAGAGCGACCTACTTTTTGTGCGCGACACACCTTCTACCCAAGATGTATCAGCTGACAAAGTTTGATAACTCTAGGCCTTATAGTATTAAAGTTATGAGCCTACACGAGAAAAGCTATTTACACGACGGTCGTGCAAATAGCTATTGCAAAGTGACAGATATATACATGAAGCCTATAACATAATACGTCCCGTCTTAAGACGGGCGTATAACAAAGATATTCATGTAATATATATACTCTAATATGGTCACCCATCCAAGGGTCAACCAGGCTAGCCGTTGCTCAAGACAAATTGCCTGAAATATAGGGAGACGTCATTTTCATTGTTTTAGAAAACACAAGCTGCAACTTTTTCAGCAATTATTTTTCATAATTTCAGTTGATACACATAAACTGTCGGCTACAGTACTTATTAGTGTTGTAAAATCGGACAAATTTTGCTATCGATTGTCAAATTGAATCGGAAGAACACAATCGATTATATAATCGATAATTTGAACTATTAAAAAAGGTTAACTTTATTTATTCAGCACGAGTAGAATTCCATGACATGTGACTGCAAACTTCAACTTATCTTTATAGGCATACGACTTTTTACACAATTTACAAATAACCGTGTCCATCTGTAAATTATTTTTGCATGAAGGCCCATCGCCCTTTTTTCCGAAACCAAAATACTCCAAACTTTAGATCGTGTTGCACCAGGATATGGATATAACTTGGCGTCAACCTCTTCACCATGCACGTTCGCCATTTTGTTTACCGCCAATTAGAGTGACGTCCCTTTGGTGAAAATAAAAGTTAAACCTGATCGGCTTTAAAAATAGAACGATCTATCGATCATAATATTTACAATCGATTGTCGCCGATCTGGGCCTTTAAACGACGATTTTTCGATAGTCGGCGACTATCGTAACAACACTAGTACTTATAATGAGGTGACCTGTTAACAAACCTGTGGAATCCTGGGATTGAAGCAGCGTCACTCTGAGTGAGTGGTTTGTATATCTCTGAGATAACCCTGCTTTTTCGGAAATTTTTGCCATCATGTTCCCTAAGGTATTATGACCCATAGCTACATTGTCGTACCACAGGTGACAATGCTCGTGACTGCGTTTTGGTCTTTGGAAAAATCGTACACAGTTTGGATTTAGTCGTCTCTTGTACTCCAAAAAAGATGTCACTGGGCAATAAAGAGGGTTATCTAAAAAAATAAATAAATGGAAATTTATATTTTAAAGAAATTTTATGCAATTTTTACAAGCAAACAGTGTCGCATGGCAAAAAGAAAATTCTCACAAATTGATTAATTGATTTACAGAATATCTTACAAACCTGGCATCGCGTACATCCTTCCCTCAGCTTGGTTGGTATCCGTTTGTTGGATCTGTGTGTCTTTCCCTTTCTCTAAATCAATGTACAGTCTACCCTCCGAATCACGCCGGGCGATGAAATCCGTGGTTCGTAACTTGTGTAAATTCTCTCGACCACGGCGTCCAAAATACAGTATCACATCCACAAAAACTTTCTCCTGGAGTTTAACATTATCCTGTAGATCAAAATACTGGTACATGCAGTTTTATATATCACTTTTTATATACAATAATGTAAAGAGAGATTTCTGTTATCCCATTGAAAATTTTAAGGTCTTTAGTAGCAGCTTTGAATGCCAGTTGTGACTTGATGAAATCCTTTCCGTGGGTGATATCCAGAGAGGCTGGTGAATTCACTAAGAGGTGTCTGTTGAGACCATGTTTAATGGAAAATAAAGTGCTACGTTTATAAAGCTTTCCGCCAACTGTTCTAGCTTCGGCATAAAATTTACACAAAAGAGAATCTAGCTCCTCTGGTCCCAGCAACTCGAAATCTGGGGAGAGGCCTTTCTCTGTTAAATAGCCACGAAAGACTTTGACAGCCGATCTTGTGGACCGCTGGGTGTTTTCTGCATCTCTGTCGTTCACGAGTTTTTCTAACTGGGCCTCTTCAAGCGATGCGAATCTCGCCATCTTTCCTGAGTCGCCTAACGTCTGCAGAAGTTATATACACGACGGTCGTGTATATAGACACTGCCCGAAATTTCATTGGACGAAAATCATAAATATAACAGATGTTTTTCCCCCATATCTATTTTTAGCTTAATGCACAGAGAAATAAAAGTTATATTCATCTGAATGACTTGGCTCAGGTGAATATAATATTTTTGTGTTTTGTTTGTTGAATCATTCAATCATATAATCACGACCATGGTAATACATTCGGATCGAATCTGTTTTTCTTATTTTCTCATGTCGATTATATATTTTTTTTATTTTACAATTTCGAACCCGATCAAAAATAAAAACTGAATGAATAAATATCCTTACCTGGACGATCATACATCCGTGTTTGTTTAGAGGAGCCTGGGTCACCGCCGTTGCCTCGTATCGAGTTCTGTGTCGGTCTTTCCCTTACAGTGACGAATTCTCTCCCCGCCGAGTCAACACAAATGATAAAATCCCCCTTTGTCAGCTCTCTTAGACTCTGACGTTTCCGCTTGCAGAAGTAATACAGATATTCAAACATTGTCTTATTTTGCAGCCCCTGTGGCGTATCGGTATTAAACACCGTGCTGTACAACTTTGCTATATCCTGGGGACAAATGGGGATCTTTTGCTTCGTTTCCCCGATTCCGTCTGCCTCTAGTTTTTTAATCAACGCCTTGAACACCGCATTACTCGATGAAAACTTTTTATCTGTGACTATATCTTCCTTCCTCAGCTTCAGAAAGTATTTCTGCAGCCCGTAACGGAGGGATATCATTGACTTTTTGGCGTACCTCTCTCCGTCTGCTTTCTTCATTTCGGAATAAAATGTTCTTAACAGGTCGTTCACTTCTGCGGTTGATAATTTACTGATAACATCTCGCTGTATTCCTTTCTGGATTAAAAACCCGTCAAATGCAGTAATAGCGGCCTTTATAAGCCTCTTTGTGTGTGCTCCAGTATATTGGTCGCCAAGAAACCCCTGCATACCCTGCTCTGCAGCGTCTACTATTCTGTCCGCCATGTTGAATGTAAACAACCAAGGTGATAGCTCCGCCCTCCTTGTGTCTGATTGGTCGATTTAGAAAAGGTATATTAGTGATGAACAATAACTCACATTTTTCCGGGCTTTATTTTATATGTCTTCCGGTTTAAGATTTTAAATTATTTTTAAAGAAATATAACTATTTTCCTATTCATTTCTAAAGACAAAGAACAAATTAATAACAAGACCGCTAATTAAATAGATGTCAGTGTTTCAAATGGATTAGGACGTCAAGGAGAAATAAAGAAATTTCAATCGGGATCGGGTTAACAAAAAAATTCGACACTGAATTAATTCGGTCCACATTATTTCGAACTTCTGTAAATAAATGACGTATGGAGTATCTTATTTTGATATTTTCTTTACTTTTAAAAATTCCACTATAGAAACCAGTTTTGATTGATTGAGAAAATTGAAATATTTAATTTCTTTTACTTAGTCTGATAATAAAGAATAAGATCTAGTAAATAAACAAGAGGCCCAGGGGCCACATCGCTCACCTGAGCAATTGGCTAGGAAAAAGCAGATATCAGATCAGAACTGAAAGTTTACTGAAGGGGGGGGGGGCTTGAATTTTAACACCCAGGGGGTCATGATTTGAACAAACTTGAATCTACACTACCTGAGGATGTTTCCCTAATTTTCCCTATTATCACTATAAGCATGGCTTCGAAGTACTTGAAAAGAAGATTTTAAAAGGTTTCCCTATATATTCCTATGTAAAACTTTTATTAGCCATTTTGGCTCCACCCTACCCCTAGGGGTCATGATTTGAACAAATTTGAATCTACACTACCTGAGGATGCTTGCACATGATCGAGTTTTATCTTTCCTGGCCCAGTGGTTCTTGAGAAGAAGATTTTTAAAGAATTTTCCTATATATTTCTATGTAAAACTTTGATCGGCCATTTTGGCCCCACCCTATCCCCTGGGGTCATGATTTGAACAAACTTGAATCTACACTACCTGAGGATGCTTGCACATGAGTTTCATCTTTCCTGGCCCAGTGGTTCTTGAGAAGATCGAATTAAGATTTTTTTAAAAATGCCATTAATTTTTCTCTAATTCATAATTATCTCCCCTTGGAAAAGGGCGTGGCCCTTCATTTGAACAAACTTGAATCCCCTTTACCCAAGGATACTTTGTAGCAAGTTCGGTTGAAATTGGCCCAGTGGTTCTTGAGAAGATGAAAATGTGAAAAGTTTACAACAACGACGACGATGACAACGACAACGACAGACAACAGACAAATTTTGATTAGAAAAGCTCACTTGAGCCTTTGGCTCAGGAGAGCTAAAAATACCACAGATTTAATATATATTCCTTTTACATGTTTAACGATGCTTTAATTATAACTTAAGCTTGGTCAGATCAGATGTTTCGGAGGCATAATCTCTGTAGTAGCTGCAGCCTTATGTTTTTTTTTAGCACTTTTGGGGAAGTTTTCTCAATTTTCCAGCATCAAGGTCAGCTTTAACTACTTTTCACTCCCGAATTCTAGGCACACTATATATTTATAACTAATCTGTATATTTTATCCATCTCCCAATCCTTTATAGTCGTCTCTACAAGTGATAAACTCACTTGATTAAAATTATTCATTAGATTGCCGAAAACTCACTTCAAGCGAGTTCATTTGCCTGTAGAGACAATTATAAAAGGTTGAAAGGTGGATAAAATATACATATTTATGGTGTCCAGATAGGGCCATTTGCGTTAGCGCGACATCGCGTTCAGATAAACAAGACATCGCGCTAACACACAACACGCCGTCGCGCTAACGCAACTTTGCACAACACGCCGTCGCACTAACGCAACTTTGTACAATGCGCCGTTGCGCTAACACACAACACGCCGTTGCGCTAACACAACTTTGCACAACACGCTGTCGCGTTAACACAACTTTGCACAACACGCCGTCGCGCTAACACAACTTTGCACAACACGCCATCGCGCTAACGCAACTTTGGGATTAATTATATTGCTTGCTACTGAGCCTCCCATTACATCTTTCATATTGTGACCATCAGTGTGTACCACCTCTGATTGCAGGATAAGTGATTTTAGGCTTTGAGGAAGGCTAGCTGTTGTTTTAGAAAAAGCAAGTGGGATAATGAAGTCCTTCTGTTATGGAGGAAATTCATTTTCTCTTTATATCAATTATTTTCCACATTTGATATACATCCCATGGAAGGTCTCTTACACTAACTACAGGGGACTCAAGGGTGAAATGAAATAGGAAGATTTACCGGGTATATGGTACTAGTATATATAATTTGATTAATTTCCCATTACCTCTACCAATGGCAAATGGCAGATAGAGAGAGAGAGAGAGAGAGAGAGAGAGAGAGAGAGAGAGAGAGAGAGAGAGAGAGAGAGAGAGAGAGAGAGAATTTTATGACACACATGGGACCAAAAATGTCAAGTTTTATAATAATAACAGTCAGGCATTCACTTACATGCACTGTTTGAGAAATGATTTGAAAAACTTGATGTGCAATTTATCATTTATTAAAAACAAGAAAAGTAAAGGAAAAAAAACCAATGTATATATGGCAGACTTAATAAAACCACTAAATAACCCATTACTCATTTGTTTACAGTTGTTCACACAAGTAATTTGCTTGTCTGACAAACGACTTGATAACAGCCAATACTCCCTTGGTTTATTTGACTAGTCCTCACTACCTGTGAGTAATTTACTGGAGCCCAGCCCTGTAACTCCCGGATAATTTGACTGGTGTACATTTTATTTCTTCCTATTTATTTTACTATAAGTCCTCGTCCCTCTTTGATTTCTTAACGATGGGTTTGTCCTCACTATCAGATCCCAGGGAATCCCCTACACTGGCTCCCCGCCCTGCTTGGTCTTCTGTTGCCAATTCACTAGGAATCCTTGTTGGGCTCTTTCTCTTCCTGCAATTTAAAATATCATAATTTGATATTGAATGTTAACAACAGAAAAGGATGATAGTTATGCATACTACTTCCAGGTTTACACGGAATAGTTAGACATACTGTAGATCACTTAATTTTCGCGACACCTTATTTTCGCGAGATAGTCATTGACTCTTGATTAGTGAGACAAAATTTTCACGAATTGTGGTTATTGCTCTAAAAAATCTTAAGGAATATTATTATACGCGAGAATTAAATTTTCGCGAGCACACCGTCTCGCGTAATTACGCGAAAATAAAGTTCTCGCGAATAAAAAGTGATTTACAGTACACAATTATATGAGGATGACTTACCTTCTTGATTTCCAATCCTTTGAAGATTGTGATGTATGCTGTCCACTTGTCATCATAGACACACCTGGAGAAGGAGAATGTTGCCCTCCTTTAATCAATAAAAGATGAGGAACATGTGGACCATTCTGTGTGCCTTTTGACAATGGAATACTAGGGGCGGGAAATCCCTTTACAGGGGAAGTCTGTCCTTGTAAAACTGAAACACATGACATAGATGTCTCTCTGTCCACGTATTTCTGCAGGTGTATGTTGTCTCCTTGTAACACACCTGACACATTTCAAGTTCTCCAATGTCTTCTGCAGCCATCTCATTCGTTTCCTATAAAAATCAGATGAGTCACATGTGTTTCTAACTTTCTATAAATACACTGATGAATTCTAAGACTTGTTTGAATGTCACAAGTAAGTGACCTTTGACCTAAGATAGGAAACGGGCATAATTACTAGTACCATCTAGTGTCTCAAGTTCACAGAAATTTTAGATGTGTTTTTTCTATGCATGTAATGCTCCTGACACAGCTTGTGATGTATGTTGTCCTTGTATAATAACCTTTCTACCTGATACTTGGTGTTTGTTGTCCTGTAAAATGACATTTATAAAAATTTGTGTGTGTGTGTGTGTGTGCGTGACTTATAATAATCAATTTGTCAGATGGACACAAAAGAAACCTTTCTTCCCATCTACCTTGAACTAGAGGCCCAGGGGCCACATCACTCACCTTGCAACTGACTGGGTAAAAGCAAAAATCAGTTCCATCTTGAAAAGTTTAAATATAAAAGTGATTTCAAAGGGGTATTATATTATCCTTCAAAAAACTTTGATCACCCATTATGGCCCCACCCTTGCTCAAGGGGTAATGATTTGAATAAATTTCAATCTAAACTACCTGCTGAATGCTTTTAATATATAACTATTATATGGCTTTGCTATTCTTGAGAAGATTTTAAAAGATTTTTCCTATGTATTCCTATGTTGAACTTTGATCCCCCATTATGGCCCCACCCTACGCTTAGGTTTCTTGATTTGAACAAAATTGAATCTACATGTACACAATCTGAGGATGCCTCCACATGAGTTTCATCTTTTCTGACTCTGTGGTTCTTCAAAGTAAGATTTTTTAAAAGATGCCTTTCATTTTTTAACGTATTCTTAATTATCTCCCCTTAGAAGAAGGCTTGGCTTTTTGTTTTAAAACACTTGAATTGCCTTAACCCAAGGATACTTTTGTTAAGTTTGGTTGAAATTTGCCCAATGGTTCTTGAGAAGAAGATGAAAATGTGAAAAGTTTACGACGACGACAACAACACTGTCATAGCTGTCGACAGAAAACAGACAATCTTTGATCAGAAAAGCTCACTTATGTGAGCTAAAAATATGGGTTTATGTACATCAAAATAAAAAGAAATTTTTAATGATGGGCTCAATACCTTTTCTTTTTGTTCTCCCTGGAGTTCACCATGTAAATCTGACCCATGTGACGTCTGCTTGCCTCCCCTGATCAGTAAGAACCCTGGGACATGTGATGTATGCTGTCCACTTGTCATCATAGACACACCTGGAGAAGGAAAATGTTGCCCTCCTTTAATCAATAAAAAATGAGGAACATGTGGACCATTCTGTGTGCCTTTTGACAATGGAATACTAGGGGCAGGAAATCCCTTTACAGGGGAAGTCTGTCCTTGTAAAACTGAAACACATGACATAGGTGTTATCTGTCCATGTAATGCAGGTGTATGTTGTCCTTGTAACGCACCTGACACAGATGTATGTTGTAACGCACCTGACACAGATGTATGTTGTCCCTGTGATGAATCTGACACAGATGTATGTTGTCCTTGTGATGAATCTGACACAGATGTATGTTGTCCCTGTGATGAATCTGACACAGATGTATGTTGTCCCTGTGATGAATCTGACACAGATGTATGTTGTCCTTGTAACACTCCTGACACAGATGTATGTTGTCCTTGTAACGCTCCTGACACAGATGTATGTTGTCCTTGTAACGCTCCTGATACAGGTGTTTGTTGTCCTTGTGACAAAGGTGTATTCTGTCCTTGTAAAGCACCTGACACAGGTGTATTCAGTCCTTGAGACACAGGTGTATTCTGTCCTTGAGACACAGGTGTATTTTGTCCTTGTAACAGAGACACACCAGAGCGAGGTGAAGGTTTTTCTCTTAACAAAGAACTCAATGCTTGGACTGTATCATATCCTTTAAGTGATGGAACACTTGGTACAGGTGTACCCTGCTGCCCTTTTTTACTTGGTTCAGGTGTACCCTGCTGCCCTTTTTTTATGAATATCACTGTTGACACAGGTGATGGCTCCTGCCCGTCTTTTATCACTGAAAATGCCGTATTAGGGGAGGAGTTTAATGCAGGTCGACAGGAAACTGGGACCGGATGACCTACTTTTGAAGAGGTTAATACAGGTTGGCAGGAAACTGGGACAGGATGACCTACTTTTGGAGAGGTTAATACAGGTTGGCAGGAAACTCGAGCAGGTTGACCTAATTTTGAAGAGGTTGATACAGATTGGCAGGAAACTGGGGCAGGATGACCTAACTTTGGAGAGGTTGATACAGGTCGGCAGGAAACTGGGGCAGGCTGACCTAATTTTGAAGAAGTTAATACAGGTCGGCAGGAAACTCGAGCAGGCCGACCTAATTTTGAAGAGGTTGATACAGGTTGGCAGGAAACTGGGGCAGGATGACCTACATTTGGCAATACCCTATATCTCTCTAGTGCGGAAGAACTTTGTGTTTCGGATTTAGTGAGTAGGTTTAGTGTTGCTGGTTGGAATGATCCAGCATTCTTGGAACATACAAGAATTGAGTTTGGAGTGGTTCCCTTCTTTATGTACAAGGTACTGCCTTTCTGTTCTGTGTAAAGATTAAGTAAGCCAGTTGGTGGATCTTCTTTTTTCACACCCTGAGCAGAACTAAATCTAAAAGGTGGTGACCTTTGACCTTGATGTGATTGTGTTGTACATGTATTTGTGTTCTGAGTCTGTTTTGTGATCACTGTGTGTTTCAGTGTGGTCAGTAGTGAAGTCTGTGCTGCACTGACACTAGCTGGCTTTGTTTGGAAAGTTTGATTCCCTATCACTTCACCAGTACCCAATGAGTTCTGAAAGTTAGATGATAGACTTTAATAAAAATTGGAAGATGTGAATGAAACTTTCATACCTAGATCACAAATTTGTCACTGATTTAAGGTAAACTTCATATTAAAGAGCTCACATTTGTCACTGTAAAACTCCCAGCTTCTGAATTACTTTCCACCGGTTCTTGTTTGACTTCTGTGGTTATGTGGGAGGAGTCATGTCCTCCAGAGTCCAGTGATTCACTGTGTGTATGAGGTACCCTGCTTTTGGCTTGCTGAGTAGATACAGGATCTAGCGAGATATTATCCAAAAAGTATGGTTCTTCTTTTCCTTCAATTTCCTGAGAAAAAAAAAACTAATCATGAAAAACTGCTTAATAGATTATTTAATAAATACATGCAATATGTTTTTTTTTTCTTTAAATTTATGATGTCCTAGGAAAGTAAGTTCAAAGACAAATAACACTAGGCTCAAACATTGAGAGAAATAAGTCCCAGAGTTAGTGACATTCTATACACTGGCCGGGGATTCTTACTTCTTCAGGGCAGCTGATCCCACCCCTAAAATCCCTGGTTTTAAATCCTTTTGACAGATATGTGTAGTTAATGTAAACCAACTTTTATTTGCGTATGAGAAATATCCACAAGTTTTACGACCTTCTCTACTTTGAGAACATTAATCGCCATGAATCATTTAATTTTCTTTAGTAATTGTAGAGAACAGTTTTTCAGTATCAAAAATTAATTGCCCGTTTTATTTCAATTTGACAATTTGCGAATAAAAGATTACGTGAATTATAGTTGGTTTACAGCAATGTATTTTTGGGTGATTGAATACTACTGTTTATCTTTTCCATTTATTATTCAAATACATAATATCATGAGTACCTCGCAGTTATCTAACTTACTACCGCTCTTTTGCGGGAGAGTCGAGAAAGCTCTAGATGTTGGGGACACATGACATTGTTTACAGTAGTAACAATCAAATGATTCGATCAATTTAATGTCGAAAGTACAATGTATTGCAAAGAATTGGACTCCAAATAGGTGATTGTCAACTAAGGAAAGTTTAGAATATTTTATCAGCTTTAAAATATGACAATTTTCAATGAAAATTTAATGAGAAAAGTCCGCTTAGTTAAAAATATCATTAAAAATATAACATTTTAGGATTAGCTCATCTCAAAAATTAATTAGGCTGGTTCAGCTAATTCTAAGCAAGGTATTCCACCAGGATTTTTTAACTAATATATCCTTATCAACTCTACAATGACCAATCTTGCACTGTATTCAATAGCACATTTGTCCCCACCCAATAGACGTTTCCTACCTCCATCGCGAAAGAGTTCCGCTAAGTTGAGCAATCGCGATATCAAGTATTCTGTGGTATTCTTGTGTTAGAATCGCTAAAATATGAAGCCCTCTCTATTCATGACACATACTGTATACCTCCATCTAGGTTTATAAATATCTTGACACTGACCTCTTCACTTGGAAGGTCAAGGTCACTGTCACCACTCAAGTCCTCATCGACAGAATCATCCACTTCATCAACTGTCAAAAGAAAATAGTTAAGATCATCATCTATTAAAATAAAACAAGAAAATTATCATTGGAATACTTCATAACTGTCAAAAGAAATTTAAGGTCATTATACAAATATATTAAGAATCAACTATACTTCATCAACTTATCAAAAGTCCCAATTGATGGTAGGCATTGGTATGATAATGAAACTAAATCACTCGAGAGCCAAGTAAGGGACCAAATTTCCCTTCAACTAAATTGAATATGGTTCTGCTTTTTCACACAAGTAAATATTTTCATGTCTGATGTGCCATAAGTTAAAAGACAACCCTAAATTATTCCTGACATATGTTTGATGGCGGAGATATGTAGGGCAATCAGATGCATACTTACTAGACAGTGGCATATTGTCCTGATAACAAGTCAAAGAAGAGTTCCCTTCACCATAAGATAATTTTACTTGAATACTAAAATCATACATTATCTATGAAGATAAGTGAATTGGTATGAATTAAACCAAATGTGATGAGAAGTTTTACCTTCTAACTTTAGTGACATTTCTTCTCTCTCTCCAGAGCGTTTTGTTGGAGTCTGACCTGAAATGTTCAAGCATAAACTTATGATTGCTTTAATACAACAGAGTAAAGATACTGATTTTGTTAAGTTTTAATTATATTTTTCTGGCTCAACTGGCTTTGGGAATATTTTTAAAACATTTCATGTTGGCTTAACTTGGATTCAATAAAAAAGAAAATCTACCCAGGGTTGCATTGAGTTTTGTGAACAAACTTTTTGTGGGGATCGGAAGATTTAATTTTTGAATTTTTTAATTTCTAAGAGAAATTTCTTTGAGCTGAAGAGGTTGTTTTGGTCTGTTACAGTAGTTAAATCTTATGGAAAACACTGCTTGCAATTCAAACATGAGGCCTAGGGACCACATTGTTCACCTGAACACTTTGGCAAGGACAAAGCAAAATCAGAGCAGTATTGAAGTTTAAATAAAGTTGAAATTATCTCCCCTTGGAAGAAGGCATAGCCCTTCATTTGAACAAACTTGAATCCACGAAGTTTTGACACTAATTTAGGGAAAGTGAGGGTCAAAGGAAAGGCCAAGGTCAAAAATGTTGATACAGTTTAAAGCTCTCATCAGTAGGTATAAGCATATAAAGTTCAAAAAAATTATAAATAGTTTCTTTAAAACTGACATAAACACCATTTGATAAAAGTGGTCAAGTTCAAATGAGGTAAAAAATGTTGATGTAATTGAATTGCTTACATCAGTATATATCAGCATATTAAGATTGACAGTAATTTAGGAAATTGAGGTCAAGGTCAAAGGAAAGGTCAAGGTCAAAAAAGTTGATGTGAAGTTTGATAACATCATCTTGAATGGTTTCTTTCAAACTGAGCTAAACACTAATTTAGGAAAAGTAAGATCAAGTTCAAAGGAAAGGTCAAGGTAAAAAATATTGATGCAGTTACAGATGCAGTTACATAGCTCTCATCAATATCTATCAGCATGCGAAGTTTCATGAAAATATCTTGGACAGTTTCTTTGAAACATGATAAAAACTATATGCCCAAGCCATATTCATGGCGGGGCATAAAAACTGTTAATTTGATACAGTAACTATATACAGGGTTATTTTCCCCCTTTCACACTTTGCAAACAATTTTGTTCCATTTCAAATTCACCGAGTCGCATTTTGTTTAAAAAATAATACTGTATTCTTTAGAGTTCGCCCAGTTTTATATTCACCCAAATATGGGTAGAACGTAAGGGCGAAAATTAAATGGGGGTGAAAATTTCCGAACAGTAATATAGTAATTACTTACCTAATGTCCTGCAGACAAGATCAGAGTTCTGTAAATCACGTGTTCTACAAGTATACAGAATACACAGTTTATCTGATGTAGGCATGGAATTAACTAGGAGAGCTGTTATCATTTAATTAATAAATACAGTGACACAGTGTTAAAAAGGTGAACATTATCCTTTTTGAATGTAAGAGTTACATGTAGTCAATATTTAACTTTAACAATAGACAGGGTCATTGTATAGGGCTGTATCAATATATCGATATATCGATACATATCGATATTCAAGAATTTTATTTAAGCCTGTACCGCTAACTGAGTAATTGTGGACCACTAATCTACCTACCCCTATACCACTAACTGAGTGACTGTTGACCACTAATCTACCTACCCCTATACCACTAACTGAGTGACTGTGGACCACTAATCTACCTACCCGTGTACCACTAACTGAGTGACTGTGGACCACTAATCTACCTACTCCTGTATACCACTAACTGAGTGACTGTGGACCACTAATCTACCTACCCCTATACCACTAACTGAGTGACTGTTGACCACTAACCTACCTACCCCTGTAACACTAACTGAGTGATTGTGGACCACTAATCTACCTACTCCTGTACCACTAACTGAGTGATTGTGGACCACTAATCTACCTAACCCTGTACCACTAACTGAGTGACTGTGGACCATTAATCTACCTACTCCTGTACCACTAACTGAGTGACTGTTGACCACTAATCTACCTAACCCTGTACCACTAACTGAGTGACTGTTGACCACTAATCTACCTATTCCTGTACCACTAACTGAGTGACTGTTGACCACTAATCTACCTACTCCTGTACCACTAACTGAGTGACTGTACCACTAACTGAGTGACTGTACCACTAACTGAGTGACTGTACCACTAACTGAGTGACTGTACCACTAACTGAGTGACTGTACCACTAACTGAGTGACTGACTGTACCACTAACTAGTGAGTGACCACTAACTGTACCACTAACTGAGTGACTGTACCACTAACTGAGTGACTGTTGACCACTAATCTACCTAACTCCTGTACCACTAACTGAGTGACTGTGTGACCACTAATCTACCTACTCCTGTACCACTAACTGAGTGACTGTTGACCACTAATCTACCTAACCCTGTACCACTAACTGAGTGACTGTTGACCACTAATCTACCTAACCCTGTACCACTAACTGAGTGACTGTTGACCACTAATCTACCTACTCCTGTACCACTAACTGAGTGACTGTGGACCACTAATCTACCTACTCCTGTACCACTAACTGAGTGACTGTGGACCACTAATCTACCTACTCCTGTACCACTAACTGAGTGACTGTGGACCACTAATCTACCTACTCCTGTAACACTAACTGAGTGACTGTGGACCACTAATCTACCTACTCCTGTACCACTAACTGAGTGACTGTGGACCACTAATCTACCTACTCCTGTACCACTAACTGAGTGATTGTGGACCACTAATCTACCTACTCCTGTACCACTAACTGAGTGACTGTGGACCACTAATCTACCTACTCCTGTACCACTAACTGAGTGATTGTGGACCACTAATCTACCTACTCCTGTACCACTAACTGAGTGACTGTTGACCACTAATCTACCTACTCCTGTACCACTAACTGAGTGACTGTTGACCACTAAACTACCTACCCCTGTACCACTAACTGAGTGACTGTTGACCACTAATCTACCTACTCCTGTACCACTAACTGAGTGACTGTGGACCACTAATCTACCTACCCCTGTACCACTAACTGAGTGACTGTGGACCACTAATCTACCTACTCCTGTACCACTAACTGAGTGACTGTGGACCACTAATCTACCTACTCCTGTAACACTAACTGAGTGACTGTGGACCACTAATCTACCTACTCCTGTACCACTAACTGAGTGACTGTGGACCACTAATCTACCTACTCCTGTACCACTAACTGAGTGATTGTGGACCACTAATCTACCTACTCCTGTACCACTAACTGAGTGACTGTGGACCACTAATCTACCTACTCCTGTACCACTAACTGAGTGACTGTGGACCACTAATCTACCTACTCCTGTACCACTAACTGAGTGATTGTTGACCACTAATCTACCTACTCCTGTACCACTAACTGAGTGACTGTTGATCACTAATCTACCTACCCCTATACCACTAACTGAGTGATTGTTGACCACTAATCTACCTACCCCTATACCACTAACTGAGTGATTGTTGACCACTAATCTACCTACTCCTGTACCACTAACTGAGTGACTGTGGACCACTAATCTACCTACCCCTGTACCACTAACTGAGTGACTGTGGACCACTAACCTACCTACCCCTGTACCACTAACTGAGTGATTGTGGACCACTAATCTACCTACCCCTGTACCACTAACTGAGTGATTGTGGACCACTAATCTACCTAACCCTGTACCACTAACTGAGTGACTGTGGACCACTAATCTACCTACTCCTGTACCACTAACTGAGTGATTGTGGACCACTAATCTACCTACTCCTGTACCACTAACTGAGTGATTGTGGACCACTAATCTACCTAACCCTGTACCACTAACTGAGTGACTGTTGACCACTAATCTACCTACCCTGTACCACTAACTGAGTGACTGTTGACCACTAATCTACCTACTCCTGTACCACTAACTGAGTGACTGTTGACCACTAATCTACCTACTCCTGTACCACTAACTGAGTGACTGTACCACTAACTGAGTGACTGTACCACTAACTGAGTGACTGTACCACTAACTGAGTGACTGTACCACTAACTGAGTGACTGTACCACTAACTGAGTGACTGTACCACTAACTGAGTGACTGTACCACTAACTGAGTGACTGTTGACCACTAATCTACCTAACCCTGTACCACTAACTGAGTGACTGTAGACCACTAATCTACCTACTCCTGTACCACTAACTGAGTGACTGTTGACCACTAATCTACCTAACCCTGTACCACTAACTGAGTGACTGTTGACCACTAATCTACCTAACCCTGTACCACTAACTGAGTGACTGTTGACCACTAATCTACCTACTCCTGTACCACTAACTGAGTGACTGTGGACCACTAATCTACCTACCCCTGTACCACTAACTGAGTGACTGTGGACCACTAATCTACCTACTCCTGTACCACTAACTGAGTGACTGTGGACCACTAATCTACCTACTCCTGTACCACTAACTGAGTGACTGTGGACCACTAATCTACCTACTCCTGTACCACTAACTGAGTGACTGTGGACCACTAATCTACCTACTCCTGTACCACTAACTGAGTGATTGTGGACCACTAATCTACCTACTCCTGTACCACTAACTGAGTGACTGTGGACCACTAATCTACCTACTCCTGTACCACTAACTGAGTGATTGTGGACCACTAATCTACCTACTCCTGTACCACTAACTGAGTGACTGTTGACCACTAATCTACCTACTCCTGTACCACTAACTGAGTCCTGTACCACTAACTGAGTGACTGTTGACCACTAATCTACCTACTCCTGTACCACTAACTGAGTGACTGTGGACCACTAATCTACCTACCCCTGTACCACTAACTGAGTGACTGTGGACCACTAATCTACCTACTCCTGTACCACTAACTGAGTGACTGTGGACCACTAATCTACCTACTCCTATACCACTAACTGAGTGACTGTGGACCACTAATCTACCTACTCCTGTACCACTAACTGAGTGACTGTGGACCACTAATCTACCTACTCCTGTACCACTAACTGAGTGATTGTGGACCACTAATCTACCTACTCCTGTACCACTAACTGAGTGACTGTGGACCACTAATCTACCTACCCGTGTACCACTAACTGAGTGATTGTGGACCACTAACCTACCTACTCCTGTACCACTAACTGAGTGACTGTTGACCACTAATCTACCCACCCCTGTACCACTAACTGAGTGATTGTGGACCACTAATCTACCTACTCCTGTACCACTAACTGAGTGATTGTGGACCACTAATCTACCCACCCCTGTACCACTAACTGAGTGATTGTGGACCACTAATCTACCTACTCCTGTACCACTAACTGAGTGATTGTTGACCACTAATCTACCTACCCCTATACCACTAACTGAGTGACTGTGGACCACTAATCTACCTACTCCTGTACCACTAACTGAGTGACTGTTGAACACTAACCTACCTACCTCTGTACCACTAACTGAGTGATTGTGGACCACTAATCTACCTACTCCTGTACCACTAACTGAGTGATTGTTGACCACTAATCTACCTACTCCTGTACCACTAACTGAGTGATTGTTGACCACTAATCTACCTACTCCTGTACCACTAACTGAGTGACTGTTGACCACTAATCTACCTACCACTGTACCACTAACTGAGTGATTGTTGACCACTTTTCTACCTACCTCTCCAGAGGACAGACGCCCTTGCTCATACAATACACTTCATGCACCTCAATCAGATGACTGGCTAGCTCACTGTCATGACAGAAGTCAAATCGTCCAATCAGCTGCTTCCAGGCGATGGCTGCTTCTCCAATCAAAATATTTCTATACTCATTCAGGATAGGGGTACGTGTCTTGTTATCACAATCTGCACAAGAGTTTTGGTGACTCAGATCAGATATTACTGTTGATATCACATTAGTAGTCTCTGGTTGATCATCCAGCCTTGTTAAATTTGATTGGTGGTCCAGTCTTGTTAAATTTGATTGGTGGTCCAGTCTTATTGAATGTGATTGGTGGTCTAGTCTTGTTAAATTTGATTGGTGGTCCAGTCTTGTTAATTCTGATTGATACTCTAGTTCTGTTAAATCGGTGGCTCTTATGCTACTGTTGCTGTATTTCTTACTAAGCTTGGCTTCCTCGCTTAGATTAAACATAAGTGCAGACAGTGTGTTTTTTCCAAGCGGCGCATTTTCGTACCATACCGCATCAGACTGGTAGTACGTCCTCTTTGGTCGCTGCCAGAAACACGGGTTCATCGGGTTCAGTTTCCTCAAATATTTCTTAAAAGATCTAACAGGACACGTGGGGTCCCCTGAAAAAAAGGGAACACATCACGTTACTAAAAATAAAATTCAAACACTGGACAGTCCGACACATGGCCTGTAAAAACAGGGAACATATTATGGTGTTACTAAAAATAGAACTCAAGCAATGGACACATGGAATCTCCTGTAAAAAAGGGAATACATCGTGTTACTAAAAATAGAATTCAAACAAATTGAATGGACATTTTGGATCTCATGTTAAAAAAGAAGGAACACATCATTGTGTTACTAAAACAGAATTCAACCATTTTTAAATTACCGTATAATCCCTATTAACCGCCCCAGGCGCTTAGAAAATTGCAGAAAGGGGGCGGTTATTTTGGTGTTCTCTTTATGATACTTAATGTCATATTTTAATTTCAAAAAATCGTTTGAAAATAAAAATAAATACAAGAAACAACTAAGATAATGTCTAACTTTACTTAAAGTAAAGATAATCCACCCAAAAATGCTAAATTGTTCATTTTCTACTGAGAAATTGGATGAAGACAAATTTCATTTTCACTTTCTTCATTTTTTTGATACGATTCTAGCTGATTTTAATCACTTACAGGGGCGGCTGGCCCGGGCCCTTATTTCCTGACAATTGAAAAAGACCTAAGGGGGCGCTTATAGGGGTAGGGGCGGTTAATAGGGATTATATGGTACCTTTTGTTCCTTATTTGAGATTGCCACACTGATACCCCGTAAAGGATCAAAAGGCCAAAAATGTCGTATTTTCATGGTTTCTTTGTTTGCTTACACATTTGAGCGGGTTTTTCTAGGGACCGTTAAAGTATGGAAGAATACTTATGGGGACCATGCATTCTATCTGGACATCTGGTATAAGCGGAGGAACCCCAGACCTCACACAGTTAGAATATGTCCAATATACTTGCAATGTAGCAAATTGGAGCATGAATTCTATCGTTAAACCAGGACTGTAGGACAATATCTTTTTAAGGATAGAACTTAACAAGAGGCCCAGGGGCCACAGCGCTCACCTGAGCACATCAGACTTGAATTTACTCCACCCCCCCCTTCCAGGCGTTCATCATTTGAACAAACTAGAATCTACACTACCTGAGGATGATTCCATATAAATATCACTAATCATAGCTTTGAAGTACTTGAAAAGAAGATTTTAAAAGGTTTCCCTATATATCCCTATGTAAAACTTGGGTCGGCCATTTTGGCCCCACCCTAGCCCCATGGGTCATGATTTGAACAAACATGAATCTACACTACCTGAGGATGATTCCACATGAGTTTCATCTTTCCTGGCCCAGTGGTTCTTGAGAAGAAGATTTTTAAAGATTTTATATAAGATTTTTCCTATATATTCCTATGTAAAACAGATTTCTATCAGCCATTTTGGCCCCACCCTAGCACCCAAGAAACTTGTTTTAACAGTTAACCAATAGGAATAATCTGTCGGAACACGTCCTCATAACAGTTATACTCGCAATGTTGCAAAACGAAATGAATTTGAAGTTAGGAAAGGATATGCACTGGAAATAACTTCAAAATTAATTACAACAAACCAAATTATTAGGTCGCGTATGTCTTTAAACCTAAATTATTCCACATAAAAGACGAAATTCAACTAATTTTCATCTTTTTCCATGTTTGCATTCAAAACTCTCCAGTGTAAATTCTGGAGTCATTGAGTGATTTTGCGACATTAAAGATTTTCGTAGGACATTTATATATATTCCTCTAAATTTGCACTTGTATTGTCAAGAAGCCATTACAACATGCATAACGATCGATCGATTATAGGGAATTTGTACAAAATTTATTCGAATTTTCATTTTGGCCCCACAGAACGGAAAGTAATCGGTCCGTGGT